ATTTATGTGAAACGACCACAAAGGGCAAAGGAGGAGGGCATTTGGCACAGTGGGTTAATCCATCATCTGGATCCAACTTCCTCCTTTTTTTTTTTTTTTTTTTTTTTTTGACAGGCGGAGTGGACAGTGAGAGAGAGAGACAGAGAGAAAGGTCTTCCTTTTCCATTGGTTCACCCTCCAATGGCCGCCGCGGCCAGCGTGCTGTGGCCGGCACACCACGCTGATCCGATGGCAGGAGCCAGGGGCTTTTCCTGGTCTCCCCTGGGGTGCAGGGCCCAAGCACTTGGGCCATCCTCCACTGCACTCCCTGGCCACAGCAGAGAGCTGGCCTGGAAGTGGGGTAACCGGGACAGAATCCGGCGCCCCAACCGGGACTAGAACCCGGTATGTCGGCGCCGCCAGGTGGAGGATTAGCCTATTGAGCTGCGGCGCTGGCCCGAACTTCCTCCTAATACACACGTTGGGAGGCAGCAGGTGATGACTTAAGTATTTGGTTCCTGCTACCCGTGTAGGATACTCAAATGGAATTCCTGGATCCTGGTTCTGGCCTGGCCCAGTCTGGCTGTTGCAGGCATATGGAGGTGGACCAATAGATAGAAGACCTCTCTCAATCTCTGCCTTCTGCATAAAATGAAAATAAATTTAAATTAAAAAATAAGTTGCTTCTCAAACCTCAGAGATTTTTGTTTTATTGTTAAAGGGTAAATCAGCAGAGATAGAAATTAGGTTAATGGTCACCTTTAGATAGAGAAAGGGCAGAAGAGGCTGTGACCACTAATAGGTATGAAGTTACCTTTGTGGTGATGGAAGTGTTTTAGAATCACATTTTGCTTATGGCTGCATAACTCTAAAAACACCAAAAACCATTAAATTCTCACTGAGAAACAGTGAATGTTATGATATGTAAATCCTCTCAATAAAACAACTTTTAAAAAGTAAAAATGTTGTAGAAAAAGCAGATTGAACACAATGTAAGCAAAAGAAAGGAAATAATAATAAGAGCAGGAACTGATGATTTTGGAAACAGAAAAATAGATTAAAATCAATAAAATGAAAACTGATTCTTTGATATGATCAGTAAAAGTGATAAACTTCTAGTTTATCTGATAAACAAAGAGAAAATGCAAATTACTATTGAGAGTTGGATAGGAACGTCTCCATAGATCCTACATAACAAAAATAATAACAAATACTAATAACTTCATATCCATAAATTTGTCAAATTATTCTAAATATACAAATTACCAAAGCTTATTTAAGAAGAATGAAATAATGTGAATAGCCCTGTGTCTATTAAAGACATTGAATACACAATTTAAAAATATCACAAAGATAACTACAGGGACAGGCATTAAGGTGCAGAAAATTAAGCCACCACTTGGGACAACCACACCCCATGTCAGACTGCTGGTTCAACTGTTGGTTATTCTGTGCTTCTGATCCAGCTTCCAGATAATGTGTTTGGGAAGCAATGGATGATAGTCCAGCCTTGGGTTCCTGATACCCTGCCACCCTCCAGATGGAATTCCCTGGCTGTTGTGGGCATTTGGAGAATGAACCAGCAGATGGTAGTCTCGCTCTGTCTTCCTGTCATTCTGCTCTCACATAAACAAGTAAACAAACAAATAAATAAAATCTTTTTTAAAAATATTACAAGAAAAGATTATAAAATGATATTTCACATGGGAATAGATGGCAAGAAATTCTTAACAATATATTAGCAAATCTTGAGAAATGCAACATACTTCAACATTAGAAAATCAATGTCTTTATATCAAGAAACTAAAGAAAAAATATGTAATCATTTCAATAAGTGTAGAAAATGCATCTGACAAAATCAACTAACATCCATGATAAAAACTCTCAACAACTGATGAATAGGAGGAACTTGCTAAAATTCCCCAAGGGTAGGTAAAAATAATCGATGGTGAATATCATATTTAACAATGTAGAGTACTTTCCCCTAAAGTCTGGGACAATGCAAAAATGTGTGCCATTATTGCTTCTATATTTATTATCATAGTGGATGTTTTAGCTAGGGCATTAAGACAAGAAAAGAAATAAAAAGCATAAAAATTGGAAAAGAATGATGTCACTATGTGCAGATGACATGATTGTCTACATTGAAAGTGCAAACAAAATTCACAAAAATGTTACTAGGACTAATAATTGCATTTTGCATGGTTGCAGGAAAAAAAGGTCAATATTTTATAAAATTGATTTCATAAATACATTTAGCAATGAACACACAAAAATAGAATTTAAAAACAGTGCCATATATATTAGCAACAAAAAAGCATATACTGGATATAAACCTAACAAAACATGTATAAGACCCATGTACTTAAAAATATAGAATACTCATGAAAGAAATCAGTAAGATCTAAATAAAAGGAGAGCTGTCCTACATAAATGGCTGGAACACTGAAGACTGTGAAGCTATCAGTTCTCCCCCCAAACTTATCCAGCAAAATCCTAGTCTGTTGAAGACCAATAACATCTCATTTGTAGAGCATTTATTCATTCATTAAAGCATGGAAACTGACAAGTTAATTCTAAAATTTATAAGAAAAAACAAAGGAATTGGAATACCCAAAACAATTTTGAAAATATTTATGTTGGAGAACTAATATCTTATTTAAATACTTACTACAAAACTCCAGTAATCAAGATGGTGTAATATGGACAGAGGAACACACATATAGATCAGTACAAGAGTCAGAAACAGAGCAGACTCACACACATGTGATCAATTAATTTTTACCAAATGTAAAAAAAAAATTGTATTTTAAACCAGTCATGAGGTAGAAATTGTCATCCATTTGCAAAAAAGAAAAAGAAAATACCTGTGGGGAGCAATTGGGAGCAACTCGGACTAGACTGTTACTGGAATTAAGACTTATTCTATGCATCTGCTCTCCCACAATATGGCGCTGGGAGAGGAGGAAACAGCTTCTACACAGCTGCCTCCAGTTCAACCAATAAACTGTAGGACCTGCTCCTGATTGGAGGAGAGCAGCGTACTCGGCGTGTGGGTAGCAGAGTTGGGATTGGTGGAAGAGGACTATAAAGGAGGAGAGAGACAACATGCACCAGGAACATCTAAGAGGAACACCTGAGCAGCCCCCGAGAGAGCCGGCTGGCGGTGTGCTGCTCCCCCGCGGAAGTGGGGAAAGTGGCAGGGGGAACCGCCCTTCCATGGAGGTGGAAGGGACGGTAGCCAACCCGGGAAGAACCAGCAGCAAACCCGGGATGGGCCGAGCAGACAAAAGAACAGCGCAGGGTCTTGTGTCGTTCCTCCACGAAGAGGGGGAGTGACAAATACCCTAAGAAACTTTTACCCATTTTCACAACCTAAACCCAAAGTATCATAGCCCTAAACTAAAACCTAAAACTAAGAACTTTTCTGGAAGAAAAATGGGAGAAAAATCTTTGTGAGTCTGGGATTAGAGTAAGATATTTTAGATGTAGCACCAAAAACAATAATTATAATAAGCAAGTCTGTTTCATAATCAAAAGTTTATCAAGGGTCCGGTGCTGTTGGCACAGCAGGTTAAAGCGATGGCCTGAAGTTCCAGCATCCCATATGGGTGCCGATTCTAGACCCAGCTGCTTCTCTTCTGACCCAGCTCTCTGCTGTGGCCTGGGATAGCAGTGGAAGATGGCCCAAGTCCTTGGGCCCCTGCACCCACGTGGGAGACCTGGAAGAGACTCCTGTCTCCTGGCTTTGGATCAGCGCAGCTCCACCCATTGCAGCCATCTGGGGAGTGAACCAGAAGATGGAAGACTTCTTTTCCTGTCTGTACCTCTCTCTGTAACTCTGTCTTTCAAATAAATCAAATAAATCTTTAAAAAAAGTGTATCTTACAAAAAATAGTGTTAACAGCAGACTCATAGAATGACAATCTCTTTAAGTAACACTGTGACCTCAGGATCAGCCCTTAGGACATTCTGGTCTGGCTAAAAAGCCCATGAGAGCATTTCAGGCATGGAAAGCCAAAACACGGTGGCAAAAAATGTTCTACATTAAGGATCTCTGTGAGTGAGACCCCAGTGGAAAGAAGTGGCCATCAAAGGATGCACTTTTCTCTGAAGGGGAGAGAGAACTTTGTTTATGACCTTGTCTAAATACTGATGGAATTTGTGGATTCAAAAGGCTTCCATAACCTAGGCAGCTCATGTCAAGAGCCTCTTGTGGTCACTGACATCATACATAAACGTGTTAATTAACCAGAGGAGTCACTTTTGCACTAACTTCCCATGCAGGACCTCAGGCCTCAATGAGTTGTACTGAGAATTAACTGTAAAACTTGTTCTCAAACACTTGTGTGTGTGTGCAAATTATTGAAATCTTCACTTAGTATAGAGTTGGTCTTCTGTGTATTAAGTTAATTGAAAATGAATTTTAATGGAGAATGGGACTGGGAATGGGAGAGGGAGGAGGAGGGGTGGGAGGGGGGGTGGGAGGGCGGGTATGGTAGGAAGAATCACTATATTTCTAAAGTTGTACTTATGAAATTCGTATTCCTTAAATAGAAGGTTTCTTTGGGAAAAAATAGTGTTAAGAAAATGAGAAGAGAAGCAGAGAATAGTTGCAAAATACATATAAAATAAAGGACTAGTATACTGTACACATAAAACACTGAAAAGTGAACAATAACAAAACAATCCAATTTTTAAAGAGCAAAAATAGGAAGAGGGGCCAGTGTATTGGCATAGCAGGTAAACCCTCCGCCTGTGAAACCAACATCCCATGTGTATGCTGGCTCAAGCCCCGCTACACCACTTCCAATCCAGTTCCCTGCTAATGTCAAACAGTGGAAGATGGTTGAAGTGCGTGGGTCCCTCCACCAATATGGAAGACCCTGAAGAAGCTTCTGGCTCATGGCTAAGGTCTGGCCCAACCCTAGCTGTTGTGACCATTTGGGGAGTGAATCCGCAGATGGAAACTTCTTTCTCTCTTTCTCTGTAACTCTGCCTCTCCAATAAATAAATATTAAAAAAAAGGGGGGGGGGCTGGTGTTGTGGCACAGTAGGCCAAGCCTCTGCCTGCACCACCAGCATCCCATATGGGTGCAGATTCAAGTCCCAGCTTCTCCACTTCTGATCCAGCTTCCTGATAATGACCTGGGAAAGCAGCAGAAGATGGCCCAAGTGCTTATGCCCTTGTACCCCCATGTGGGAGATGCAGAAAAAACTCCTGGCTTCTGATTGGCCCAGCTCCAGCCATTTGGGGGATTAACCAGTGGATGGAAGATATCTCTCTCCCTCCCTTTCTCTATAACTCTGCTTCTCATATAAATAAATAAATATTTAAAAAATAATAAGAGATACTTCACTCAAGATATGTAAGGGGCAAATAAGCATGTAAAAATATCAAGATCATTAGACATTACAGACATGTAAAATTTTAAAATTTTTATTAATATAAAGAGAACAGATATCATGTATTTCATAGGTATGATTCTAAGAAGATAATCATACTTTCCTCCCTTCCTAGTTCCCTCCTTCAACCTCCTCTCCTTCCTTCCTTCCTTTTTTTTTTTTTGAACTTGCAAAAGTATAATTTCAGTCTACTATATAATCACAGGCTTAATGCACCACTAACCATAATATTCAACAAGTAAAAAAAATAGAAAAGAAATAGAAAGACCACAATTCCACAGGAATATAAACAAGGGCTAAAAAAAAACAATCAAATCTCAAGATGTCCATTTCACTGCTATACATTTTTTTGTATTCTATACTAACTACTATATATCAGTGAAAACATAGGATATTTGTTTTTTTGGGACTGGTTTATTTCACTAAGCATAACGGTTTTCAGTTGTACCCATTTTGTTGCAAAAGACAGGTTTTCATTCTATTTTATAGATGCGTAGTATTTCAAAGTGTATATATACCATATTTTCTTTATTTAGTCATCAGTTGAAGGACATCTGGCTTGATTCCATATCTTAGCTATTGTATATTGAGCGACAATACAAATACCTCTTTCATATGATGAATTCATTCCATTTGGGTAAGTTCCCAGGAGTGTGATGGCTGTGTCATAAGGTAGATCTATTTTTTCAGATTCTGAGGACTCTCCATACTGTCCTCCATAATGGTTGTACTGGTTTATATTTCCAGTACATTAGGGTACATTCCCACCACCATCCTCACCAGCATTTATTATTTTTTGATTTGTGGATGATAGCCATTCTAACCAGGGTGAGGTGAAACCTCACTGTGGTTTTTGTTTGCATTTCTCTGATGGTTAATGTTCCTGAGCATTTTTTCATGTGTCTGTTGGCCATTTGTATTTCCTTTGAAAAATGCCTGTTCAGGTCCTTTGCTCATTTCTTACCTGGATTTTTAGTTTTGTTGTTGTTGAGTTTCTTGAGCTCTTCATATATTCTGGATGTTAAGGGGACATGTAAATTAAAACTACAATGGGATGACCTTGCACACCTATTACAATAGCTGAAATAGAAAGCCCATTTGGCAGTAGTAACAGTGAGGCAGAACTGGACCTCTCACATGTTGTTGGGAATGTAAATTAGCACAATCACTTTAGAAAGCAGTTGGATTACAATCCAGATATTCCAGTCCCAAGAATTTATCCACACAAAAGGAAAGCATGCAACCATACAAACGAAGACTGGTACACAAATGTTCATAGCCATTGCCCTCTAGTGAACAAAAATTGTAAATATTGCTAATGTCCATCAACAGAAGGATGAATACATAATGTGTTTAATGGGACAACATTGTGGTTTCATGGGTTAAGCTGCTGCCTGCAATGCTAGGATCCCTTATCAGAGCATAGGTTCAGTTCCAGCTGCTGCTCTTCCAACACAGCTGCCTGCTAACATGCCTGAGAAGGCAAATGGTCTGAGTGGTTGCGGCCCTGCTACTCATGTGGGAGACCTGGATGGAGATCTAGGCTCCTGGCTTTGGCATGATCCATCCTGGGCCATGGTGACCATTTGGGGAGTGAACCAGTGGATGGAAGGCTTCTGTCTCTGTCTCTGTTTCTCCCTCTCTCTATGTCACTCTGCTTTCAACTAAATAATTGTTAAAGTGTTTAACTGAACACATGCTCAATAAAAAGGAATACATTAAACTCATATCGACATGGATAAATCCAAAACAACTTATAATTGTAGATTTTATTAATAATCACAAGTACTGAATGTACATAGGTGACCAAACTGTAGTACATCTCTACAAGGGAACAGGATTCATCAATAAAAATGAACAAACAACATGCAGAAGCAACAACATGGATGTGGTTATCTGAAATTAATTATGCGAAGTTGAAGGAAGCCAGGCTCAATCTATAGAAAATTCTGGAAATGACAAAAGCTACAGGGACAGAAATCAGATTAGTGGTTACCAGGTACTGGGCCCTGGGGGAAGAAATTGACTGCAGATGGACTAGACATAAACGTTGAAGGTGACAGAAACATCCTGTCTTAATGTGATTGTGCTTACATAACTATAGACATTTGTTACAAATCAGTTGTACCCCAGAACATCTTTAATGGAGGTAAATTACTTTATAAACCTGACTTTTTAGAAGAAGAGGGTGTGGGTTTTATTGGAGACACAGGCCAAAGAGAGCCTCTTGGAGGAGGAGGGAGGAATTGCTGTTCTAATAGGAGGGGGCTACCATGGAAAGCATTTGCCAGAAGGTCAACAAGGGGATGGTCAGGTAGTAGAAGGGAAAGGCAGACTCAATGCCAAAGCTATAAGGACATATGAGCGCACATCAACAAGTTCATGGGAAACAGATTAAAGAGATGTTGATTTTAGTGCATAAGCATTTTGAAATCCATACATACAAGAGATCATCAAAAAGTTCACAGATAATATGTATCATGAAAAAAGAGCAGGCAAGTTCCACTGTGCTAACATTCTGCCAGCAAAGCCTTTGAAGACACAGCTGTTCTGGGACTTGTATTAGTATCAGAAAGCACACTTTATTCTCTGATGCAAACCAAAGTGGGTTAAACCACTGTTTTCTGATGTTTCCCTGATATTGCTGAACCACTCTATTTTCCCAAAGAATAGAGAGTAACATTACACTTAAAAAAATTGGGGGGGGGGGGACATTCGGGGCTGGCATTGTGGCATCAAAGTTCAAGTTGCAAATGCTCCACTTCTGCCCCAGCTCCCTGCTGATGGCCTGGGAAAAGCAGCAGAAGATGGCCCAAGTGTTTGGGCTCCACCACCCATGTGGGAGACCCAGAAGAAGCACTTGGCTCCTGGCTTCAGCTTGCCCAACACTGGCCATTGCAGCCACCTGGGGAGTGAACCAGCAGTTGGAAGATCTCTCTCTCTCTCTCTCTGTAACTCTTTCAAGCTAAAAAGAAAACCAAACAAAATAAACCTTTAAAAAATAAATAACTAAAAAAAGAAGAAAAACCAGGAACACAAAAAGCAGGAAATCCATAGTAATTGTTCCACAACAGAGTGAAATCTTTTAATACACATATTAAACTCAATTGGTTTTGTTCTTAGAAATAAACTAGCTGGCCGGCGCCGCGGCTCACTAGGCTAATCCTCCGCCTAGCGGCGCCGGCACACTGGGTTCTAGTCCCGGTCGGGGCACCGGATTCTGTCCCGGTTGCCCCTCTTCCAGGCCAGCCCTCTGCTGTGGCCAGGGAGTGCAGTGGAGGATGGCCCAGGTGCTTGGGCCCTGCACCCCATGGGAGACCAGGATAAGCACCTGGCTCCTGGCTCCTGCCATCGGATCAGCGCGGTGCGCCGGCCGCAGCGCGCCGGCCGCGGCGGCCATTGGAGAGTGAACCAACGGCAAAGGAAGACCTTTCTCTCTGTCTCTCTCTCTCTCACTGTCCACTCTGCCTGTAAAAAAAAAAAAAAAAAGAAATAAACTAGCTATGTAAACTAAGAACAGCTGATGCCACATACCAGGAAAGGACTAAGACGTAGACTGAAGACCTCTTACATTTATACTTAGATTTCCAAGTGATATGAAGTCCTCATAGGATAAAGCTACTGGGGTGTAACCATTTGGCACAGCAGTTAAGCCATTGCTTGGGATGCCTGAATGGCATATTGGAGTGCCTGAGTTCAAGTCCTGGCTTATACTTCTGATTTGTTTCCTGATCACAGTACTGATCACACTGGGAGGCAGCAGGTGATGGCTAAACTGCAAGGATCCCTGTTACACACATGGGAAACCTCAATGGAGTTCTGTGCTCCTGGCTTCAGCCCCAACCCAGACAAGCCTTAACTGTTGTATGTATTTGGAAGTGAACCAGTGGATGGAGAATGCTGTCTCTCTGCCTTTCAAATATATAGAGGTTTTTTTTTTTTTTTTTTTTTTTTTTAATATAAAGCTACCGTCTACCATATGCTCTTTCCATACAACCCTAGTTAATGATAATGGGATACCAGCAGTTTACAGTCCAGATGGTCACACAGTTAAAATAAACGTGTCTCCTGCTCTCCAGTTATTTAAGGATTACCTTAATTAAACAGAATGGATGGGTTTTGTGGACCTTGCCTGTTTTGGCCAACAGTGAGCCACAGTGAGCCACATGATTTCAATATGAAGACCAGGATACAGCTGTTGATGACTAAGCTCAGGCTCCCTGAGTAAGTACTGTCTGAGCAAGACACACCACTGCACATCTGTTTCCTGTTTTCCTCCTTCCCTTTATCATTCTCTCCCAATTTCCTTTCACCTGGAGGCTACCTAAGACAACCACAAGCAAGCAAGTCTTGTGTTTAACTCTTTTTCCTTCCATGAGTGTTGTCATTTTACTTGCAGGAGTCAGAGAGGAGCACAGGGGCCCTCAAAAGTACACTGTTGCCTGTTCAGTCTCCCTTAGGTAGCTAACTTCTCTCCCACTTCCCATGAAGAATTTTGCTATAGAGGCAGTACCAGCTTCTCCAAAAGTACTGAATCAAAAAGGGGAGCATAAATAAGGCAGTGCAGTAACAAGCAGGGTGTTCAGGAGCCTCATCGGGGTCTCGCACATGTGTGACATGGGCCTAAACATTTGGGCCATCTTCTGCTGCTTTTCCCAGGTGATCAGCAGGGAACTGGATCACAAATGGAGCAGGACTCAAACTGGCACCCATATTGGATCTGGTGTCACAGTTGGTGGCTTTACCTGCTACACTACAATGCCAGCCCCAAGAACAGGAGCTCATTTTTGTGAACACAGGTTAAGGCCAAAGAGTGCTCTTAAGCCTAAGAAAACATCTTTAACATCAAAGCATTATCACTGACTGGAAGGGACTTCAGAAGTAATCTTACATAAGCCTTGTAGGTGGCAAAGACTGACACTCTATACAGTTTAAGAAAGGTGAAGTGACTTATCTAATAGATATTATTTCAAATGGCTTAGGAATAGGGAGCACAGTTTAAACATGCCAATAGAAAGCCACCAGAAAAAAGTTTTAAAAATATTCTTGATGTAAAATCAGCTCAGAACATGGTCTATCTCCTTTGGACTTTTTATTTTTTACAACCATTACATAACATCAGCTATATTAATATTTCAACATTACATAACTGTGAAAAAAGCATACTCCTATTATACTGATAAAGTTTTGGGGGACATTTCTCAGCTATGGTTTAAGAAGAAATGAATTCTACTCCTGACTTAATGGTGCACAAAGTTAGTAAAACTATATTTTCTTTGTACTTTGGCATTTTTCTTTGCAAAAGTCTTTGCATCCTGTCATTTCTCTTCCTCCATAAACTATATTCAAGTATAATTTTTACATGCCTAACACAGGAAGTGCAAGGTACCTTTATGGTTAAAATATTTAGAAAAAGCAGGCAAAGGAAAACCTAAGTGCCACTTTTCAGGTGGTTTTGTTGCAGGAGTCTGCAGTTCTAATTGTTAGGGTTCAGCTAACCAATCAAAACTGTCCTTCTCGCAGACCGATCAGGAACTTCCCCCTTTACAGTCTCTAGCAATCCATCAGTCTTGGCAATCAGTCTTCAGTGGGTGCCTTCTTCAGTTCCCCGCTAGGTGCTCCTGGGAGATGTTTCTTTCACTTTTGCTCTCTCTGCTTTTTTTTTTTTTTCCCTCGAGAAACTTCTTTGTACATTCTTCTTTGTCCATGCTCTTAGTTCTATATGGTTATAAGACCCAAAGCTGAGTAAAAGCTCTAATCAAGACTCAACAGATACAACAAAAAAGCACATGGAACTTTCCAAGATGAGTTAAAATTTTCGAAATCTAAATCATTTACAACAGCACAGAAAAATCTTGATTATAAGGACTAGCACATGACAGTAACATCCTTCACAGAAGCCAACTCCTGGACTTTTCTCAGGTCCTCCAAGATTCAACTCCAGGTAGTGGGGCAGGGGCCTCTTTGTAAATGTCTGCCTAGCCAAGATTCTATCAGTTTCCAGTGCTCTGTCACCATGCTGCTATGAAAACATTTTGCATGCCACCACTGATAACTAATCAACCTACTGACTACTATGTAACTTTTGAAGGTAGCACTCCAGAATGGTAGACTTAGGCTCAAAGAATTCTGCACTGATACACGAGCTTTCTATTTATTTGAGGGACATAGAGAGAGACACAGTGCTCCCATTCACTGGTTCTCTCCCAAAATAACAACAATGGCCAGGACTGGGCTGCTCCACAACCAGGAGCCACAACTCAAGCAAGATCTACCAGGTAGAGGGCAGGGACAAACACCTGAGCCATCACCACTGCCTCCCAGGGTCTGCATTAGCAGGAACTGGATCAGGAGCTGGAGCTGCTTATCAAACTCAGGTAATCCTATATGGGGTGCAGACATCTTAATAGCTAGGCTAAGCACCTGTTTAGGTTTTCACACTTTACACTTGTTTAGGTTTTTATACTTTTCATGTTAAAAAAACAACCAGGAATCATTTTATTTCTACTGTGGTAGAATTAACATGAATTATTTGAGATCAATCTTTAATTATGGTTAATAATTGCTGAATCTTCTACATTAGCTATGTTTAATTTTCACATTACTGATTGTTCTTGTGGCTTACATAATCACTGAACAATTTTTCCTAGATCATTTGAAATGACAAGTACAAAGGTCTACAAAATGTAAGTAAACATATATCAGTTTGAATCATAACACTTTCTTCAAGGAAAAAATGTTAGCAGCTTGATCATTATTGTCTAACCAAGGAGATAAAATAAATTCACTTGGAATTTGTTTTTCTTAACTCCCATCTAGCTTGCAAATGTACGACTTAGAAACTATTCAGTCTGAAATCTTCTTGTCACATTCCTGAACTCAGAGGCTGAGGGTTTGCTACCTTGCTACTGGGCAGCAGAGCTACCCCAGGGCTACCACTGATCAGTTCATGGGCATCTGCTCCAATCCCAGCTGAGCCTACAGATCAGCCCCATTCTACTGAGGCTGCATTCTGACTTGCAATAAGAACAAGAGGAGGCCTGTAGGAGAAAGGTCATACTGTCCTATGGTTTAAAATGGTTACAATCTTCCTTCAACTGAGCATGCCTTTGAGACATAGACTCAGTTCCTCCATGCAGTCCTTGCTGCCTGCAGGTTTATTTGAATTTTAGATGAAAATGAAAAAAAGATGATTGCACTGAAAACTGACATTGACATCTGGAGAATTATATATTAGGAAAATACAATGAGAAATCTGTATGGTCTGGTTTCTTTTCTTGTATTATTTCCATGCTCTGCTTTCTTGAAAGGGAATTAATGAACTATAGTATTTGAAGAGATTTTCATCTGCAGGTTTCAGGATTTTCTTATCTGCCATATTTACTACTCATCCTCGGGCAAGACCAAAGAGGATTCTGCCTTGGATCCTTTAGTGTACTAGCATTTTGAAGAGTTCATCTTTAATGATATCAGGTAACACATAGCCATACTTCCTGGTGAGTTCAAGTCTTGCTTCAGGAAATTTGGCACGATCTGCCGGGTAACCGTGGTTTTTGGCATCAGTGTAATAAGGCACCAGTGCTGTACGTGTAAGCATCTGCTTTGGGATGGGCTGTCCACACAGAAAAAATGGAACAGGTATGCACGGAATTTCTAATAAAAAAAAAGAAAAAAAAAAGGAACGCAATTATGGACTTTACACATAATGACTATTATAATTTTTTAATGTTTATTTATTTTCATCTACTTGAAAGGCAGAACTATGGAGGCACAGAGTGTTCTTCCACCCACTGGTTCACTTCTCAAATGCCCACAAAAGCCACAGTGGGGTGAGGCTGAAGCCAGGAGCCTAGAACATCATCCTGATCTCCCAAATGGACAGCAGGGGCCTGAACACTTGGGCCATCACTGGCTGCCTTCCTACACACATTAGCAGGTAGATGGATCAAAAGCAGAGCAGCCAGGACCCAACCTGGCGACTGGATATGGGATGCCAGTGTCACAAGCAGCAGCTCAACCTGCTGCTGTACCGTGATGCTAGACGCCTCCAACCGTGAAGACTTATTAAGTCTGCATTTGTATCTCAACAGTTTAGAAATTAGGAAGAAGCATTAGGATTTCTGAAAAAAACAATGTTACAAAAATGAATTCTCTTAACTAAAGAGCAGGTGAAGATAGCTTAGTGATACCAAGCAACAGAGGGATACTGCCCAATCTTGGTTTGGCTTTTTAAATTTTTTAAAGTACCTGGAACTTTAAACTGAACAAGAAGTGTTCTGAAAGTGAAGTAGCAAGAAAAGGCCTACATATAAAATATATAGATACTATGAGGCCTTTCACTGGTTTAGAACACAAATAGATAACTCTATGAAAGCAACAATGCCCTACAGGCCGTGTTTTATACAAGGCTGCTTTACCCACAGCTGAAAACACAAAATAGTTCACATAAATCAAAACAATATTAAAGAACTTACTGAGAACCTTAATATAACAGCACATACATTCACACAGCTGTTATAAAAATCTATCTGATTTAATGTATTAACCCATTCCTACACACATAGTACCCGGTATTCAATAAGGTAAATGGTTAACGCTCACTTGGAGCCTCCCAACTCTAACTAGTGTTTCTCCATCCTATTGGATAGTATCTGACAAACACTGACCACTGACTAAATATTTGCTGAGTGCAAGAATGTGACAGTTACTCTAACACAGCTCATGTTCTAACAATATACCAACACAGAGCAAACGAGAAATGAGAACTGGAAGCTGCCTGCTAGGGTCAAGACCAAGAATTACGAAAATGAAGCCAGTCCCATATGGGCGCTGGTTCTAGTCCCAGCTGCTCCACTTCCAATCCAGCTCTCTGCTATGGCTGGGAAAGCAATAGATGGCCCAAGTGCTTGGGCCTCTGCATCCAAGTGGGAGACCTGGAAGAAGCTCCTGGCTCCTGGTTTCCAACTGGCCCAGCTCTGGCTGTTGCAGCCATTTGGGGAGTGAACCAGCAGAAGGAAGACTTCTCTTTCTCTCTCTCTGTCTGTCACTCTCACTGTAACTTCACCTGTCAAATAAATAAATAAAATGTTTAAAAAATTTTCCTCCATAACTTAGAAAACTAAAGTACAATGAAGTAAATTCTTCAGGTGGGAAATTACAACTGAATGGTCAGCCTGTGATAAGGCTTGTTTTACTGCTTTTTAATGAACAGCTCCCAGGATGACTTCAGAGCTGCCCAGGGACCAGGCCCAAGTCTGAGGGTGATGACTTTGCCCAGGCCTCCAGCTCAGGATGCCAGGTGCTGGCCAGCTGCTGCACAACCAGCACGCCAAACTCTGTAATGACAATGACTTGAAAAATGTTCTATGCCACAAGGCCTTCCAAAATGACAGTGATTGTTTTACATACACACACAAAAAAACAATCCTTTTTGTATTTGAGGCAGCTCACTCCGAAAACTATGAATGATAGGACCAAAGAAAAGCTGCTCTAACCTCTGTCCTTAATGTAAAATTAATGGTAAATGAGAATTAATGGTGAAACTAGTCTTCAAACAGTACTTTATGCTTTGTGTGTGTGTGTGTGGGTGCAAACTGTTGAAACCTTAACTTAGTATAGAGTTGATCTTCTGTATATAAAGATAATTAAAAATGAATCTTAATGAAGAATGGGATGGGAGAGGGAGTAGGAGGTGGGATGGTTTGGGGGTTGGAGATCGGATATGTGGGTAAGAACTGCTATAGTCCAAACGTTGTACTTATGAAATTTATATTTATTAAATAAAAGCTTTCTATAAAAAAGTTCCTCTATGCTAAACTAGAATGAAATGAGTATTAAGGTGAATATTTCTAGAAAGCTTTCAATTATGAGGGAAATGAAATGGTGGTTATTTGTTTCAAACTTTGACATTCAGAGAATATGAATACACTCCTTTTTCCTTTTTATATGTCGACTTTAAAAGAATTTTCAATGAGCAATTTGAGTGGGAAAAGTTTAACTCCCATTTTTTTTTTTTTTATTTTTGACAGGCAGAGTGGACAGTGAGATAGAGAGACAGAGAGAGAAAGGTCTTCCTTTTGCCGTTGGTTCACCCTCCAATGGCCGCCGCTGCAGCCGGCGCACCGCGCTGATCTGATGGCAGGAGCCAGGAGCCAGGTGCTTTTCCTGGTCTCCCATGGGGTGCAGGGCCCAAGCACCTGGGCCATCCTCCACTGCACTCCCTGGCCACAGCAGAGAGCTGGCCTGGAAGAGGGGCAACCGGGACAGAATCCGGCGCCCTGACCGGGACTAGAACCCGGTGTGCCGGCGCCGCAAGGTGGAGGATTAGCCTATTGAGCCACGGCGCCGGCTCTCCCATTTGAATATAAGAAAATCCAAGACCTTGTAAAAACATTTAGCCATTTCGTTTTCACCTCTGTAGCTTATAAAAATCCAATTCATTTATTCAACAAATTTTAAGTGAGTCTCTACTACACATCAGGCACTGCTCTCCATGCCAGAGAGAGAACAGTGATCAAAGGTCGCTATTATCAAGATGGGAGACACAGAACAAACAGGAGACAGAGAATATCACACTTTATCACCTTGTGAGGGCTGCCTAGGCAAACACCACGTAGGGCAAGGGGATAGGACATGACTGTGTATGTGTGTGTGTGTGTGTGTCTGTGAACCTGTGCATCTTCTGTTTAGCACAGGTAGGAAAGATCTCCCTAATAAGCAGAGACCTGGAAGAATGAGGTGCAGAGCCCTGGAGATTACAGGCAGAAGAATTTTTAGGTAGAGGAAACAGCAGGGTCAGAGGTGTGAAGGTGTAAGGAGCGCAGTCTGTGGAGAAAGGCCAAGGCAGCCTGCAACAGATCTGAACAAGCAGAGCGAGCATTAGGAGGGCTAGGAGGTGGTGCAGATTACACCCAGCCTCATAGCATGGCATGGACACCACTGGAGGTTCTGCGCAGAGGAGTGACAGTCCATGCCTTAGAGAAGCCCTGTGCTGTGTGACTCCACTGTACGCAGGGGTGGCAGCAGAGAGTCCAGCTAGAAGGGAGCACAGACATCCAGGCCAGAGCAGCTGGAGAGGCAGGACGATCATGGACAGGCTGGACAGAACTCACAGGATGTGCAGGGTATAAAAGAAAGAGTCCAGAGGACTCCACATTTTGGGTTAAAAAAACAGGAAAACGGCATTGTCATTTACTCCATTTACTCAGTGTGCAAGAACACATGGAGGTGAAAGAGAAAAAAGATACCCCAGAAACACTAGGCTTGAGAACCCTGTGAGGTATTGAGGGGGAGGTGCCAGGCAGAATCTGGAGCGCAGAGGAGGAGACCAGAGGCTCTCTGCCCCTTGGCCCGTCAGTCAGCAACACACTTTACTCATTACATCATGCCCACATGATACTGCAGCCCAACAACAACTACCAAGGTTTACTCTTCACCAACTAATTCAAAAGCAGCAGGCAATATGAGACAAAGAGGGAAAGAAGAAAACGACCACACAGCAAGCTTACCCAGACTTCTCGGGTCATAGAAGGCTGTAGTGACAACACCACCGTTCTTCTCGATTGCAGCAATGGCTAGTTCTGAAGCCATCTGTACTTCAATATTAACTTTTGCCTTAAGGTTGTTAGCGCCCTGCATGATGTCCAGAGTCTGTTAGTAAATACAGTGGCCAAAAGTAAATTAATGGCATCAGAATTCCTTTCTCAACTGTGTTTTCCCTCCATAGTACCTATGATGTAACAGTAATTTGTATTGTAAATATCTCTGCTTTAGGGGCCAGTGTTGTGTAACGGATTAAACTGCCGCGGTGATGCCAGCATCCCATAAGAGCACCCATTCAAGGCTCTGCTACTCCATTTCTGATCCAGCACAGTGTTAATACACCAGGGAAAACAGCACAAGATGGCCCAAGTGCTTGGTCCCCTGACACCCACATGGGAGACCAGGACAGAGTTCCAGGATCAAGGCTTGGACCTGGCCCGGCCCCAGCTGTTGCAGCCATTTTGGAAAGGAACCAGTGCATGGAAGATCTTTCATACTCTGACTTCAAATAAGTAAATCTTTAAAAATTAGTAAATAAATAAATAAGTATGTCTGCTTTCAGGTTTCGTCACTCTGTTTTTACATTTCATGTAGCGTACTCTACACATACCAAGTATCTGAATCTGCGCTTCAGAGGGGTGCCCTCTGCAGGGAGAAAGGTGGAAGACAACACATGCTGACTGCATTCACCAGTTTTATTAGAGCCTTGAAACTGAAAATAAAATAGTAATAAGGGAACCGTTTCCTAGAAAGTTCAGCATTGGAAAATATTGTAGCAAATATTTTAAATCTCAGCTTTTAATCATCTTTAGTCATTATATACTATACTTCCTATTTTCAAAATGAATCTACTAGCAATGATATGAGAACCTTGCCACTCTTGAGGCAATGCAAATTGTTTGACACTTTGGTGTAGTTGAAGCAAATTAGCTCCCAGGCAAGTTCCGTTTAATTATGAATTTTTCATGTGTTTCATAAATACTACATCAATTCTAAGATGCATTGTCTCACATTTTTCACATCTAAAGATTGGTGTGTATTTCTTAAGATTTGTTTTATTTGAAAGGCAGAATTACAAAGACAGAGGGAGGGGGAGAGAGAGAGAGAGAGAGAGAGAGAGAGAGAGAGAATCTTCCATCTGCTGGTAAACTCCCCAAACAGTTACAATAGCCAGGTCTGGACCAGGCTGAAACCAGGAGCCAAAGCACTTGGGCTGACTTCTGCTGCTTTCCCAGGTGCATTAGCAGGGAGTTGGATGGGGAGTGAAGCAGCTGGGAATCAAACTGGCACCCACATGGGATGCTGGCATTGCAGAAGGCAAATTAACCCACTACATCATAATATGGACGCCACATCATCCATTAATGGTTCACTTGCCAAATACCCACAAGAGCCAGGTTTGGGCCTGGCCAAAGCCAGGAACTAGAAACTACATCTGGGTTTCCTATGTGAGTGGAAGGAATCAAGGTACTTGAGCCATCGTCTGCCGCCTCCCAGGTGCGTTACAAGAAAGCTAGATCAGAAGTAGATGCAGGACTCCATTCTAGGCACTCCATTGTGGATTTAGCCATCCTAAGCAGCAGCTGAACATGTTACACACTACAACACTTTTCTATAGTCAAAGCACTTTTAATTCAGTAAGAAAATGCCTTGCTATATTACTTGTGAATTTAATTACTACTTCATAGACTGGTTAACCATCCCCTTTTCTTGGCCATTGGTTAGGTTCCTATATCTTCAGCATCATAAACAGCACTTTCAGGAATGTCTTTATATCAGGCTTCTTTCATTTTGCTTTTTCTTGGGGACAAACATTCCCAAATTGGTTAATTCTGTGTTGAAAAATCAAAGCAGTCTTACTGTGCACTGTTTACTACAAACCTGAAATCCAGAAAAGGTAAACCAATTTACACAGCTGCAAACAATGTGTAACTCCTCAATTACTGCCCTGGGGCAGACTTTTCAGGATTACTTTTGCTGGTTTAATACACATACTCCTCAAGGACCATGGGATGTGAAGTTTAAGGTCATGGAGATTCCTGTATATTAACATACCTGTATATTTCTTTATATAGCTTGGGTAGACAAATGAGGCTTAGTCTTGTATTTGGTTTTCTCTTTTCAAATTATTTCATTTGGAAAGTATTTACCAATAGGTTCACTTTTTCAAAGGAATCTAGTTTTCCCATAAATATATGCTTCCCTCTAGTGGACAGGAAGTTACCTATACAGCTATATAGCAGAAACAGTACAAAAAGTTATTTTCTTATGAACTTCTGGTTGATTCAACAAATATAAAACTTCTTTACTGCAATTGGGATGGGATTTGGATTGCTCCTTTCTGAGTGACTTCATGAGACAATATTTGCAATACTGAAAATAAAGGAATGAATCAAAATACCTGTCTTTAGAGGAGCCTAAACTCCAGCAAAGAAACAACAAAACATAAATGCAAAACTTAATGAGTCATTGGCTAGCACTGTGGCTCACAAGGCTAATCCTCTGCCTGTGGCACCGGCACCCCGGGTTGTAGTCCTGGTTGGGGCGTCGATTCTGTCCCAGTTGCTCCTCTTCCAGTCCAGCTCTGCTGTGGCCTGGGAAGGCAGTGGAGGATGGCCCAAGTGTTTGGGCCCTGCACCCGCATGGGAGACCAGGAGGAAGCACCTGGCTCCTGGCTTCGGATTGGCACAGTGCACCAGCCGTGGTGGCCTTTTGGGGGGTGACCCAACAGAAGAAAGACCTTTCTTTCTGTCTTTGTTCCACTAATTCTGCCTGTCAAAAAAAAAAGGAACAACAACAACAAAAAATGAGTCAGATGTTCATGTAAATACTAATAAAAGTTCTCCTAGCAGAATAAAACAAAATAAGACTGAAAGGGGGGTACAGAGAGCTGGTGCTGTGGCACAGCAGTTAAAGCTGCTGCCTGCCTTGCTGGCATCCCATATGGGCGCTGGTTCGAGTCCTGAATGCTCCACTTCTGATCCAGCTCTCTGCTATGGCCTGAGAAAGCAGTAGAAGATGGCCCAAGTCCTTGGACTCCTGCACCAGCATGGGAGACCTGGAAGAATCTCCAGACTCCTGACTTCAGAATGGTGCAGCTCTAGCCGTTGTGGCCATTTGGGGAGTGAACCAATGGATGGAAGGCCTCTCTCTCTTTCTCTCTCTGTGTAACTCTGACTTTAAAATAAATAAATAAATCTTTAAAAAAAAGATGGTACACATTCCCTGTTACAGAAAGCTGTCAAAAAGACTGTCTTCATTTGTAAACATTTGAGCAGAGAAGCAAAGGAAGTGAGTGAGCAAGCTAGCCTCTCTGAAAAGCATTTAGGACCAGGCGACAAAGCCCATGACAACAAAGTGGCTTTCCAAAACCATAGCTGATGGTTTCTTATGGATGTACCTCAAATGAGATGAAAATAAGGGACAGAGTATTATTATATGGTAATCAAGAAATACTTCTATTGGGCCTGGTGTTGTGGCAAAGTGGGCAAAGCCACTGCCTGCAATACCAGCTCCCATATGGGCACCAGTTGGAGTCCTGGCTGTTCCACTTCTGATACAGCTCTCTGCAAATGGATTGGAAAAAGCAGCAGAAGCGGTCCAAGTTTTGGGCACCTGCTACCCATGTGGGAAACCTGGAGGAAGCTCCTGGATTCAGCTTGGCCCAGCATTGGCCATAGTGGCCATCTGAGTAGTGAAACTCAGAAGGTATCAGCTCTCTGTCTTTATCTCTGTCTCCTTTTCTCACTGTTACTCTCTTTTTGAAATAATATAATAATCTTTTTCAAAATAAAATCTTGTGTGTAGCATTGAAAGATCTAATCCAGACTTACCTCCTCTATCTGTTGGACACCATAATCCCTTTTATGTGGCTGGATGGTCACACCTCCTCCACTGATGAGCATGGATAAGTCAATAGTCTGCATAGGGTCAACTCATCCCAAATCTATAACATATTGCAGTCTACTGAGACACAAATCCTGCTACTGGCCTCTGAAGCTAAATATAAGAATGCAACAGTTAGAAAACTCAAACTTCCTGTAACATCTTTACATCTAGTCAAAGCTTTGTCTTGTATTTTCTTCCATCATATTTGATGGTTTAACAAAATAAACCCCTCTTTGCTACAATATATGCACTATTACTTGACTTGATGTAGTAAAACAGAATCAGTACTGCTTTTGTTCCACTGAAAATAACTTGTCTAAGCATTTGCCTCACTCATTTACACATATAAAGAAATTTAACCCTCTATTTTTACACCAACAGATTTAATGCACTAGAGATTTCAGGTTAAGCAAACATGTCTTAAATAGAATACAAAAAGTGGGGCTGGCATTGTGGCACAGCAGGTAAAGCTGCCACCTTCAAGGCCAGCCTCACATATGTGTGCCAGTTGGAGTCCTGGCTGCTCCACTTCCAATCCAGCTCCATGCTGATGTGCCTGGGAGAGAAGTAGAAGATAGCCCAAATCACTGGGCCCCTGCACCCAGGTGGCAGAGCTGGAAGAACTCCTAGCCCCTCACTTTGGTCTGGTCCAGCCCTAGTCATTGCAGCCATTTGAGGAGTAAACCAACTGATGGAAGATCGATCTCTTTGTTTCTCTGTCTCTCTGTCTCTCTCTCACTCTTACTCTCTCCCTCCCTCCACCTTCTCTAACCCTGTCTTTAAAAATAATTAAAAGAAAATTTCTACAAAAAATATAAAAATCATGAGCTCAAAAGGAAAAATCAATAAATTTGGCTTCATACAAAATGAAAATATTTTCTCTTTGAAAAACAATTAAGAAAATGACTGGCCGGCACTGCGGCTCACTAGGCTAATCCTCTGCCTTGCGGCGCCAGCACACCGGGTTCTAGTCCCGGTTGGAGCGCCAGATTCTGTCCTGGTTGCCCCTCTTCCAAGCCAGCTCTCTGCTGTGGCCAGGGAGTGCAGTGGAGGATGGCCCAGGTGCTTGGGCCCTGCACCCCATGGGAGACCAGGATAAGTACCTGGCTCCTGCCATCGGATCAGCGTGGTGCGCCGGCGCAGTGCGCCGGCCACGGCAGCCATTGGAGGGTGAACCAATGGCAAAGGAAGACCTTTCTCTCTGTGTCTCTCTCTCACTATCCACTCTGCCTGTCAAAAAAAATAAAAATAAAAATAAAAATAAAAAACAAAATGACATGTCCAGCCACCAGTTAGGAGAAAGTGTTTTTCAAAACATGTATCTAACATGTATCTACCAGTGCACTGGGATCTAGAATATCTTCAGAGTTCTTAAAACTCAATAAGAAGACAATCCAATTAAGACATGGGAAAGAATTTTGATCAGATATGTAATGATTTGGGAGAACATTTTGTCTGGTCCTTAAATAGTTACGACTTCATCTTCCACATTACATAGTAGTCTCATTCCTAGAGAAATGGAAGCACAAATCCACTTGAGTTGTATAGGATTGTTGATAGCACCTTTCTTTGTAATAAACAAATCAATATTGTGTCAATGGGGTTAACAAACAAATTGTGATAAATCTATATGGGGTGATACTACTTGCAATAAAACAAAATGAGCAACCAATCCAAAAACATGATTAACCCTAAAACAATGATGCTGAGGGAAGAAGTGCTGGGAAATGCAAAGAAAATTATTTTGACAAAATAATCAGTGATTCTTTGAGGATGTGCCAGAGCTGGGAAGAGACAGCATAGATTACAAAAGAACTCAAGGAACTGTGTGTGTGATAGATGGTCCACCCTCTGGATTGTGGTGATAGTTAGAATGGCATACTGTAGACTAAGACCATAAAATTATATACTTTAAATATGTGCAGTTCATTGTGCATCAGCGGTATTGCCATAAAACTGCTAAAAAAAGCAAAATGTATTTTATGAGTTTCTAAATGTCTTATCAAAAACTTAGTTTTGTATAATTTGCTTTTTAAAAATCCAGCATATTTTGAAGTCTTCTCATGTTGATTATTTATACATCATTCATACCTTTGAAAGCTATCTCATTCTTTTTTTTTTTTTTTTTTTTTGGACAGGTTGGACAGGCAGAGTGGACAGTGAGAGAGAGAGACAGAGAGAAAGGTCTTCCTTTGCCATTGGTTCACCCTCCAATGGCCGCCGCGGCCGGCGCACTGCGCCGGCGCACCGCGCTGATCCGATGGCAGGAGCCAGGAGCCAGGTGCTTTTCCTGGTCTCCCATGGGGTGCAGGGCCCAAGCACCTGGGCCATCCTCCACTGCACTCCCTGGCCACAGCAGAGGGCTGGCCTGGAAGAGGGGCAACTGGGACAGAATCCGGCGCCCCGACCGGGACTAGAACCTGGTGTGCCGGCGCCGCTAGGCGGAGGATTAGCCTAGTGAGCCGCGGCGCCGGCCTGAAAGCTATCTCATTCTATGAGCACAACACAGTGTAATTATCCATTCTGTTGATGAGTATCCAGCTTTTTATTTTACGAAGAGTATTGCTATTAACATTCCTGCATGGGGTTGTCATTGTGGTGCAGTGCTTGTGATACAAGCAACCCATACTGGAGTGCTGATCCAGACCCAGCTGCTCTACTGACCATCCAGCCCCTTGCTACTGTATCCGGGAAGATGACTGAAGTACTTGGACTCCTGGCTCATGATTTTTTTTTTTTTGTCACTCTGCCTTTCAAATAAATAGCTAAACAAAAAATCTTTTTAAAAATATTCCTGTATGTCTCATAGTACGCATGTATGTGAGGGAATATTAGTCAGGGTTCTCTAGAGAAACACAATGAATAGGACACAAACAGGAAGAGATTTGTTACAAAGAATTGACACACAATTATGGAGTCCAAGATGTCCCACAATCTGCCATCAGGAACTGGAGACTCAAGACAGCTGATGATGTAATTCCATCCTAAATCCAAAATTCAGAGACCCACAGGGCAAGTAGTGCCAGTCTCAGTTTAAAGGCCAGGAAACTAGTCTCAGCTCAGAAAAGCAGGCAGGAAGCAAAAGGGGCGAATTTTTCTTTCCTCTGCTTTTGTTCTGTTCAAAACCTCCATGGATTGGATGACATGTAACCACTTTGAGGAGAGCAATGTACTTTTAATTCTGCTGATTCAAAGTCTAATCTCATTCAAAGACAACCTCACAGACACACCAAGAAGTAATGTCTAATCTGGATACTCCACAATTCATGATGTTGACATGTATTTCATCACAACAGGTTTCTAAAATCTGTCCCACAGTAGAGTTGGTGGATCTTAGCTATGCACATCAGCAACTTTACAAGATACTCTCAAGTTGTTCTTTGAGGCTTTTCAATTTCAGACTCTTATCTGCACTATATACAATTTAGTCATGTAACAATCTTTCTAATATCATGGATAAAAGTGCTAAATTTTTTTAATGTGTATTTTCTTAATATAAGAAATGCTGGGCACTTCCTTATGTTAGTTATTTGGATTTTCCCTTTGGGAAATTGCCTACAATTTGGCAGGAGGAATCCTGGGAAAACCAGCCAAATTTTCTCTCAAATATAACCAGTTACTTCAATATCTTCTGTTGAAAACAATGATTTTTAACTAATATGAAATGTCATGTTACCCTTCATATATGTTTCTCTCAAGTAGGTGTGACATTTTTGCTCCCCTAGAGTTCAATTCTGCTCCAGAAATAAATCCAAATAACTGAGGATATGTATTACTACACTTTTCCTTACTTTCTCTACAATACCTGTGAGGAGCTTCTTTGGGAAAGAAAAGGTTTCTTTCAGCTCACAGCTGGAGGTAACAGGATCCAGTTGTCCCGCAGTTCATCATGAATGGAGGTTGCTCATGGGTGTGGAAGCATGACCACAATGAAAGGGGAGACACAACAGTTATGCAGAACCTGAACTCAAATGATCAAAACTTTCTTGAGACCCACCCTCGAAGGAGACTCCCCCAACAACCCAAAGAGCTCCCATTAGCACTACCTCCCACCCACCACAATTAGATCAATCTCTACCCCTAATCCATCACCATTAAGACATCACTGTGTAAATAGCTGCATGAACTTTGGGGAAGCAATTCCTGCATACTCATAACAAATTATTCAGCAAATGATTTGACTCGCTTGTCCTTGCCTGTGCTGGCAACTTACTGTTGTAACTTCTGTCACTCTAAGTGATATCAAGCATTTGATAGAGGTGGTTATGAATCAGTACTTTTCCCCTTTTAATAATCCCTAATATACCTGAATTTCTATTCTACTGTGTTCATGAATTTATGTTTTGAAATTTTAAAGCATAATTAGGATATTTAAACATTTTGAATAAAGTGTAACTTATTGGGATTTTTTTTTTTTTTTACCTTTTAGGAGCTCTATTAGTTACTATAGATCAGTGAGAACTTTATAGTATTTGTCCTTTTGGGACTGGCTTATTTCACTACGTATAATGTTTTTCAGTTTCATTAGTCTGCTGCAAACAACAGGATTTCATTTTTTTATTGCTGTGTAGTGTCCCGTGGTGTACATATCCCATAATTTCTTTATCTAGAATTCAGCTGATAGACATTTGGGTTGATTCCATATCTTAGCTATTGTGAACTGAGCTGCAATAAGCCTGGGGTTAATTGGGACTATATTCCATTAATAGACTAATTCTGAGAAAATTGATAATCTTACAATATTTGGCATGCCTGTCCAACTGTTTATCCTTTCTGCATCTTGGTAGCTTTATATTTTCCTGATATAGCTCAAATAACTTCTTTTCCATATGTACAATAAAATTGCCTCTGTGTTCTAATATCACAATCTCATGTATAGAAAATCTTAAGGACACTGAAAATATATTAGAACTTATAAACAAGTTCAGTATAGCTGTAGGATACAAAATCAACACTGAAAAGTCATTTATATTTTTATACATTAATAACAAACTGAAAAATAAGTTAAGAAAATAATAACATTTACAATGGCATACAAAAGAATAATGTAGGAGTTGATGCTGTGGCATAGCAGGTAAAGCCACCACTTGCAATGCCAACATCACATACAGAAGTTCCTGAATGGAGTCCTAGGTGTTCTGCTTCTTTTTTTAAAAATTATTTTATTTAGTTGAAATGCAGAGTTTCAGACAGATAGAGGGAGAGAGAGACAGAGAGACAGAAAGAGAGAGATCTTCCATTTGCTGGTTCATTTCCCAAATGCCTGCAAAGGTGAGGGCTGGACCAGATTGAAACCAGGAGCCAGGAGCTCATTCTGGCTCTCCTCCATGGGTGTAGGGGCCAAAGAACTTGGACCATCTTCCATTGCTTTCCCAGGTGCATCGGTAGGGAGCTAGATTGGAAGTGGAACAGCTGGGATTTGAACCTGCAGCCACATGGAATGCTAGTATTTAAAGCTGCAGCTTAGCCCATGGTGCTCCAATGCCACTTTCGGCTTTCCCTCTAATCTAGTCTCCTGTTAATGTGACTGGAAGGCAGCAGATGATGGGCCAAGGACTTGGGCCCCTGCCACCAATGTGTGAGACCAGGATGGAGTTCCTGGATCCTGGTATCAGCCTGACTATCCCTGTCTGTTGCAGCCATTTGGTAGTGAACTGGCATATGAAAGATTCTCTCTCTCTCTCTCTCTCTCTCTCTCTCACTCTGTGTGTGTGTGTGTGTGTGTGTGTCTACCTCTCACTCTGTTGCTCTGCCTCTCAAATGAATAAATAAATCTCTTTGCAAAGAAGAGCAAAATACTTAAGTGTAATTTTAGCCAATGAATTAAAAGACATGTATGTTGAAAACTAAAACACTAATGAAAGAAATTAAAGTTAAATAAAATAAAATTAAATTAATTGTATCTAACAAAAAATGAAAAGATATCCCATGTTCACTAACTGGATGAATCAATATAGTCAAAATGTGCATACTACTCAAAATAATCTTCAGATTTATGCAATGCTTATCAAAAAACAATGATATTTTTCACAAGGAGAGCAAAAATCCTGAAATACATATGGAGCAACAAAAGATACCAAACAGCCAAGGCAGTCTACTGGAGGAACAAAGCTGGAGGCCTTACAATAACTGATTTCAAATTATATTACAAAACTATAATAAACAAGACCACAAAGTACATCCATAAAAGTAGACATATGGAGCAATGGAACAGAATAAAAATCTCAGAAATAAACAGACACACTGATTTTAGAAACGGACACCAGGAATACACAATAGATAAAGGATAATCCATTCCATGAATGATATTGGGAAAACTGGGTATTCATTTGCAAAAGAAAAAATGTACTTTGCCTTCCATCACACACAAAAAAATCAACATGAATGGATTCAAGAGTTTATCAAGGGTCCCAAAATAATAAACTCCTAGAAGAAAACATAGGAGAAATGTACCTTGACATTGGTCTTGGCAGTAGTATTTGGATGGGACAACAAAAGCACAACTAAGCAAGTGGCATTACATCAAACTAAAAAGAATCTGCAGATCAAAGAAGCCCATCAGTGTAATGAAAAGACAACTTACAGAATGCGAGAAAATATTTGTAATTATATGTCTGATAAGAGATTAATATCCAAACAAAACAAATAGCTAATGATATTGATGATCTACTATATAACATAGTGCTTACAACTGAAACACTGTGATAACCATCCTTTCATTACTATAACAAACTACCTAATAGAAGCTACTTATGAAGCAAGGAGGTTTATTTGGTTGGGCTCATGATTTCAGAGATTCACAGTTCACATTTGGGCAGGCCCCATTGGTTCAACGATCTTGGGATGCTGGAAGATGGCAGAATATACGAGAACTATCAAATGTTAATCCAGGACACAGTGAAAGAGTGCCTAGGCTAGACTCAGGTTTATTCAACCAATCCTCTCATGAGAAGTACTTTTGCAGAGCATGCCTCCAAAGATATAACCATTTTCCACTAGGCCCACTTGCTAAATACCATGAGACCCACCTTCTAAACACCATAGCAGGTTCAAATCTGATAATCTAGTAGCCATGAATATCAATTCAGTGACCATTAACCTAAGGGCTTTAGGGACCAAGCTTTAACACATTGCCCTCTGGGAGACACACAAACCAATATCCAAACTATAGCAATAATGTTTAAACAACTAAAGTTGCTAAGAGAGTCAAGCTTATATATTCTTACAAAAAAACAACAAAACACTAATGAAAATTGTGAAGAGAGTGGGAGGAAACTTCAAAATATGATGGATATGATTATGGCCTTGAATGTGGTAGCAATGTCACAGGTGTATATTTATCACAAAACACTGCAAGATAACTATACGAAATATGCACCCTATTTTTATATCATACATCAATGAAGTGATTTTTTTAAAGGTTTATGTATGTATGTATGTGCGTGTATATGTGTATTTTTAAAACTTTTATTTATTCGTTTGAAAAGCAGAATGAAAGAAAGAAGGAGACAGAGAGAGAGAGATCTTCCATTCACTGATTTACTCACTAAATGGTCCCACTAGTCAGCCTGGTGTAGGCCAAAGCCAAGAGCCTGAAACTCCATCTGAGACTCCCACATGAGTGGCAGGAGCTCAAGCACTTGAGCCATCTTCTGTTGCCTTCCCAGGTACATAGCAGCAAGCTGGATTGGAAGTGCACCAGACTGCACCTTAACTAGCTCTCTGATATGGGATGTCTGTGTTGCAAGTGGAAGCTTATCTTGCTGTGCCATAATGAATGTATTTTTGAAATTTCTGTTGTGAAGTCAGAGTTGCAGTGTAGTAATGTCAGCATATCAGAGTGCCAGTGTGAGTCCTGTCTGCCCCACTTCTGACCCAAATCCCTGCTAATGCACCTGGGAAGGTAGTGATAGCACATTTAGTTGGGTTCCTGCCATGCATACCGGAAACCAGGATGGAATGTCTGGTTCCTGACTTTACCATGACCCATCCAGTTGTAGGTATATGGGGGGATGAGCCAGTGGACAAAGGATCTCTTGGTCTCTCCCTCTGTCACTCTGCCTTTCAAATAAATAAATAAATGCATTAAAAAAACACTGCCTTAAATAATTTCTATTGAATTTTTCATCAGTAATCAGTTTGTTGTATAATGATTAACAGACAATAATGCTGAATTTTTTCATTAGTAATTTATTTACTTACTATTTAAGAGTGGACAGAGTTAGCTACATCATTTCATGTACTCCCCAAATGCCTGCAATGACCAAGGCAGCTTCCAAGTGCTGGGAAACCAATCCAGATCACTCATGTGAGCAGCAGGCATTCAACTACTTGCTACCTCACAAGCTGCATGTTATCAGGAAGCTGAAACCAGTATCTGAGTCTGGGGCTGAGATGGAACTTGAACACGCCAGATAACAACTTGTAGTTGTTTATGAGTTTATATCTCTTTAAATCAGACTGGAACTGAGAAATAAACAAGATATATCTATATATATCCTGAGACAGAAACAAAACCCATATATTCACATACAACCACGTCTACCAATAAAACCATCCACATGCTTAGGTGTACCACCCTGTTGCATAGTGGATTTACAGACAATATTAGCCCTTATGTAACAGGTTTGTGGGCAGCTACCCAAGCAGGTGGGCATTTTGGTTACCAGGACATTGATTGTCATTGACGTCCATAGAAAATGGTGCAGGGGCATAAAGGTGTGGGAACTTGAAACCTTCATCTTCCCAAGTTCATCTTCTCAACACTCTACCACTTCAAGTATTCTTGCCATATAATCTAGGCTTGATTCCTCCTCTGAAGAGATCTCAGTGTGGGGCCAGGAGTACACAACGGGTGTAGAACATTACAACCATAACAACAATGCAAGTTATGATGAGAAAGCATAAGCATAAGATACAACACAAAATACCCCCAACCAATATTGACTTTCATTATATTGCACCCGAACTAAAGTCTCTAGATGAGTCCAAGGGAAGTTTGTTAACCAAGTCCATTGTAGTATAGTCAGTGGCTGTGGCTACCTTCTGAGGTAGCTGAGATGCAGGGCTGGCAGGCAACTCGCTGCACATTCAAGCCCATAGGTTGGTCACATTTGCAAAGCTGTTCAGTCCACAAGGGGATTTGTAGACATCAAGTTGTACGCATCTTATGTGGGCAAAAGTACAGTCGTCTATCTGCCATCCCTTCCAGGGGAGGATGGAAGGCATGTTTGGCATTTTCTTTTGTCCCCAGCTTCCACTGGCTGAGCTATCTTCTCTTTACCTCCTGTTGGATATGGCTGCATCGTTGTCTATCCACATGGTGTAGGCTGTTCTCAGGCTCTAAAAACTTCCATAAAAACTTCACCTTTCCAAGTCCATTTTTTTTAACTTTCATTTAGTAAATATAAATTTCCAAAGTACAGTACAGGATTACAATGCCCCCCCCATAATTTCCCTCCCACACGCACCCCTCCCATCTCCCGCTCCCTCTCCCATTCCAGTCACATCAAGACTCATTTTCAATTCTCTTTATATACAGAAGATTGATTTAGTATATATTAAGTAAAGATTTCATCAGTTTGCACCCACACAGAAACACAAAGCGTAAAATATGGTTTCAGTACTAGTTATAGCATTACTTCACATTGGACAACACATTAAGGACAGATCCCCCATGAGAAGTAAGTACACAGTGACTCCTGTTGTTGACTTAACAATTTGACACTCTTGTTTATGGTGTCAGTAATCTCCCTAGGCTCTAGTTTTGAGCTGCCAAGGCTATGGAAGCCTTCTGAGTTCACCGACTTAGATCTTATTCCGACAGGGTCATAGTCAAAGTGGAAGTTCTCTCCTCCCTTCAGAGAAAGGTACCTCCTTCTTTGATGGCCCTGTTCTTTCCACTGGGATCTCACACGCAGAGATCTTCCATTTAGGTCTTTTTTTTCCAGGGTGTCTTGGCTTCCCATGCCTAAAATACTCTCATGGGCTCTTCAGCCAGATCTGAATGCCTTAAGGGCTGATTCTGAGGCCAGAGTGCTATTTAGGACATCTGCCATTCTATGAGTCTGCTGTGTATCTCGCTTCCCATGTTGGATCGTTCTCTTCCTTTTTGATTCCATCAGTTAGTATTAGCAGACACTAGTCTTGTTTGTGTGATCCCTTTGACTCTTAGACCTATCAGTGTGATAAATTGTGAAATGAAATTGATCACTTGGACTAGTGAGATGGTATTGGTACATGCCACTTTGATGGGATTGTGTTGGAATCCCCTGGCACCTTTCTAACTCTGAGTCCATCTTTTCAACAGGTAGACCTCTGTAGAGGCTGCAGTCCTGGCAGAGTCCTTTGTCATAGTTCCTATCAGATAATCATACATAAGAACACATTTTAAAGAACCTTTTGGATTTGTATATCTTAATTTAAGGTTGGACCACAGACTCTTTTTTTAAAAGAGATTTTTTTAAAAAAATTTGTTTTATTTATTTGAAAGACAGAGCTACAGATAGAGAGGTAGAGCCAGAGAGAGAGGTCTTCCACCTGCTGGTTCACTCCCCAAAGGGCTGCAACAGCCAGAGCTGTGCTGATTGGAAACCAGGAGCCAGGAACTTCCTCTGGGTCTCCCACGTGCGTGCAGGGGCCCAAGGAATTGGGCCATTTTCTGCTGCTTTCCAAGGTGCATTAGATCAGAATTGGAGCAGCTGGGACTCAAACCGGCACCCACATGGGATGCCGGCACTTCAGGCCAGGGCTTTAACCCACTGTGCTGTAGTGCCAACCCCAGATCACAGACTCTTAAACTTTCATAGGCTCACCCCCTTGTCATCTGGTTTTTGTTGCCATTTTTTTAAAAACCACCACCACCAACAAAAACAACAACAAAACCAGAAAAACAAAAGCAAAAACATTGCTGATCTTTCATCCTTAGCCATGTTCTTTATGATCTTCTGGTTACAGTGGACTCATTCCTGGTTGTTGCTCTGATTTGGTTCCCTGGTGTAGTAGACATGGTTGCAAACCAAGAGTCAGTGTTATAAACCCCTTCAGCCACATATATGAGTAACCTAGAGGTTTATGGACAGGGTCCACAAATTAATTTTACTTGAAGTCTATTCCTAAAAATTAACATAATCAGTTCTGTACACAAGAGCAATCATGTCAGAATCATGCCATCATTATCTGGCTGGGAATTGGACTTTTGTACAAAGCTCATAGGTGGTGGGCATGAAACTCCAAAGGAAGAGCACATAACAAATCATCAATAGCAAATCAAGTTTGTACCTAAAAAATCATAAGCAATCTAACTGTATTCACATTATAGTTGATGGTCCAAGGTGAGTATGAAAATTTGGTTTCTCTCATTTTAATCCAAATTTAGAAAATGTTTCCATTCAGGAAGACTAACCAAGGAAGGCTTATATTTTTTTAAAGCTATAGTACCAACTTTTTGAAGTTTAAAACTACTACTAACAAGTGCTCATTGTGTGTACTCACTGAAAGGCTGAGAGCCCTGGAAGTCAGTTATTCTGTGGATATTTTTAGACACATAAGTGTTTTAATTACTACTTTGTTATGAGCTAAAGAAATTGTTTGAACAATGTTTTGAAACCAATTACATTGTCGTAAAACCAAAAATTCCCATTAGCAGTTTCTGAAATCTGGAGGAATTCAGTAGGAAGGAAAGGTAAATGTTTTGGCTTTTGTTTATAAATACACAGTCCACCAGAGTGCTATAAACTACAGATCACAGGAAAGTCTTTGGGGCTTGACAAAACATTTAAGGAGAGAAGCAAGGATGTTGTCAGTAACAGACACAGAAACCTACAAATGACAAGTTTCAATCTCTATGTGGTTACTTTTCTGTCATGTTTGATCTACAAGGTTTCAAGAATCTGTCAGGCTTTTTTTTTTAAAGCAGAATCTCTGAAATTTTAATTAGTTTGCTTTGTCAGAAACATATTTACAAATATTTTTAATGCTTTCTTGGATTGTAAATGTTGTAGTGAGGAGGGCTGCAGGTGACAAAAGACTTAAAATCACACTAATGAAAATTTGAGACACACGTTAGTGGTTAACAAGTAGGTTTACTGAAATCTATTGTATGTAGTGCTGTAGAAGTCTCAGCAGTTTTTGATAACAGCTTCACCTACCCCCAACCACCAGGTGCTTATGGGTTAACAGACAATAGTGACCTGAAGGGAAGCCCTTATGTAACAGAGTTCCGGGCAGCTAGTCAAGCAGATGCCCTGATGGTTACCAGGACATGGATTGCCATTAAGGCCCACAGATAAGACCACAAGGGCATAAAAGTGTGGGAATTTCTTCCCAAGTTCATCTTAACACTCTTCCACTTTAATTATCATTGCCATACAATCTATAGGTGCCTCCTGTTCCAGAGAGATCCAAGAGCAAGCTGAGGAATACACATAGGGTATGGAACAGTACGTTCAAATGCCATTAAATCAATGCAAGTTACAACAAGACTGTATAAGACATGACATATAATACCCCCCAACTCTCAGTGAATTTCATTATATTGCTCCTGGGGTAAAATCTCAAAATGATCCAAGTACAGTTTGATCATCAAGTCCAGTGTGGTCAACGGCTATGGCTACCTTCCAAGGCAGGTGAGCTGCAGAGCTTGCAACTGCTGCACATCCAAGAAGCCAATCAGTTGGTCACTGCTGCAAATCTGTTCCGTCCAACAAGGTATTAGTAGCCATCAGGTCACATACATCTGATGAGGGCAAAAGTCGAGTAGCCTATCTGCCATCCCAAGGGTATTACAGCTTATCATCCCATTGTTTACAGAATGCAGCACATATATGGTTACAAATATTGACCAGTACATTAAAACACTTAACAAATCAAAGCATAAGGCGCTGTCAGTTCAGGGATGTAAGGCTAGGTGCAAGTTAGACATTCATTATCTGGAGTTTAGCCCCAAGAACAGGATTCTATTCACCCTAGAACCCTCAAATCAGGTGGAATCAGAAAACTTGAATAACACTGAACTCAATTTGTCCCCTGCACTGGAGGACTCTATCATTACTCTTGTTGGTTTATCTTTTGGCACTGAAAGAAACCTGCAGGGTGAGGATACCTCCTTTGCAGGGAATAGATGGCATTTTCCTTTGTCCCCAGCTGCCACTGCCTGAGCTGTCTTCTCTTTGCCTCCTTTCAGGTGTGGCTGCATTGTTGTCTCTTCATGTCCTGTGGGCTGTTCTCAGGCTCCCTCTCAGCTTCAGCTGTGCATCTCCTGAACTCTGCATCTTGGCTCTCCTGGTTTACTGGTCTGCTGCTTTTACTCACAGTTGCAGTGAGAAATACACAAGGAACAGACACTAGACCCCTATGGCACTGAGACCACTGGAGATATCTGCATCTGTGTCCCTGGAGGCACACACACATACACACAAAGACATTTGCATGCTTCTACACATAATCAGACATCCACATAAGGGCAGATACCCCAAGATCCACAACTAGCTGTGTCCTTCAGTTGCTCATGTGTTTACAGACAACAGTGGCCCAGAGGCAAGCCATTACATAACAGTGTTGTGTGCAGCAGACCAAGCAGGTGGGCCAGTTGGTTACTAGGACATTGGAGGCCAAAGAGGTACACAGAAAGGGGGTAAGGACATTCTGGTGTGGAAGCATGAAAATTACACCTTCCCAAGTTCATCTTCTGAAAGATGGCTATGTACCCACTCTAGTCCTGGCAGAGTCCTTTGTCATAGGTACTAATCAGACATTCATGTAGAGAGCACTTTTTAAAGAACTTCTTGGAATTGTATATCTTAAAGTTGGCACCAGAGATTCTCTCTTAACTTTCAAACAACCTTTGGTTTGTTATCTGGTTTTTTGTTTTTCTCTTGAGCTTTTTACAAAAACAAAAAACATACAACAAAACAAAGACAAACACTACTGATCTATTATTCTGTAGCCGTGTGTTCTTTTTGTGTCTTTGGTCAGGATGGATCTGTTCCTGGTCACTGTTGTGAATTGGTCCTAGGTTGGGGAGAACATGGTTGACAACCAAGAGCCATTATTATAAACCCTTTTAAGCCACATATATGAGGAGCCTAAAGGTTTATGAACAGGGTCCAGAAATTGAACTTATTTTCAGTCTATTCCTATAATTAACATAATCAGTTCCATATATAAAGCCATCATGTCAAAATATCAGGCCAACATTCTCGGGCTGGGAACTGAACTCTTGAACAAAGCAGACAGTCTATGGGCATGAAGGTCCAAAGGAAGAACACATAACAAATCATCAACAGTACAGCAGATCAAGTTTGTACCTAAAACCCATAACCAATCTAACTGCAGTCATATTACAGTTGACTGTCCAAGGTCATAAAGAAAGTTGATTTCTCTCATTTTAATCTCAGATTTATACAATGTTTTAACTTAGAAGCCTAATCAAGGATGTCTGAGATTTTTTTAATGCTACAGTACTAAACCTTTTGAAGTTTAAGAGCTAATAAGTATTCATTTTATTTACTGAATCATTTTATTTATATTACTGAAAGGCTGGGAATCCTTCAAGTCAAGTGTTTTGTGTATAGTTTTAGACATATCAATAATTTAAATTATATTCAGTTATGGGCTGAACTGGTTCTGTTAACAAAGTTTTAAAAATAATTACATTGTCACGAAAACCAAAAATTCCCATAAGCAGTTTCTAAAGTTTGATGGAATTTAGAAGGAAGGAAAGGTAAATGTTTTGGCTTTTGTTTATAAAAATAGTCCACCAGAGTGTTATAAAGTCTAGATATTGCAGTAGATCTTTAAGATGTGAGAAAAAAAAAAAACATTTAAGTAGAGAACCAGCAATGTGTTAAGTAGAAGACAAAGAAACCTTCAACTATACCAGCTTGAGTAACTATGAACTTATTCTTTTGTCTTGTGTGATCTCTAGTAGCAATTTTATGATTCAGTCAGATTTCCTTAATCAGAATTTTTAAAAATTATTTAGTTAGTTCACATTATGGGAAACCTCTATTTATAAATAATTATTAGATTATTTTTGGATTGTAAATGATTTTAGAGAAGAACCAGAACTGTGGATGACAAAAGCCTTAAAATCACCCTGATTAAAATTTGAATAACAGTTGATTGGTTAACAAAGTGACCTAGTTATATTTATTGTGTATAGTATTTCGATATAGGCATAACTTATGTACAAACTCTTTTGTGATTTTTTTTGGGCCAGCATAATCTGGTTGGAAATTATTCCTTTGCAGAATTCTGATAGGTGATAAGGAAAAAGTTCAAAAAGAAAAATACATAACAAACTGACAACAGTACAACAAATCAAGTTATATCTTAACACAACCATGTAACTTTAGGCATATTTTCACTGTCTGTATAAGTACAATAGGAAAAGTTGATTCATTACAGACTAAACTCAGATTTAGAAATTTTTAAATTTTCCACTTTTATGCATTTAAAGGTATTATACTTAGTATTTCAAAAACCACAGTAATGTTTTAGAAACCATTTAATTTTTTAATCCTGTGTTTTTAAATATTTTATTATTCTCTATTTTATTTAAGTTATACAAGTTTTCTATATTTCATATATACAGACTTAGGAACATCGTGACACTTCTCCCCCTACTCTCTCTCCCACCCGTGTTCCAATCCTTCTCCTCCTCCCTCTCGCAAAACTATTTTTTTTTTTTTTGACAGGCAGAGTTAGACAGTGAGAGAGAGAAACAGAGAAAAGGTCTTCCTTTCTTTTGGCTCACCCCCCAAATGCTGCACCGATCTGAAGCCAGGAGCCAGGTGCTTCCTCCTGGTCTCCCATGCGGGTGCAGGGCCCAAGGACCTGGGTCATCCTCCACTGTACTCCCGGGCCACAGCAGAGAGCTGGACTGCAAGAGGAGCAACTGGAACAGAATCCGGTGCCCCAAAAAACTATTTAATTTTTGAGGCCTCTGGATTTGTGAAGGGAGGGGCAACTGAAAAGACCTTATACAGTCCCCAGGTCTTTTTCATTATTAAGATAACAGTCATGACAGATGACACCACATCAGGTGCAGCAGACATTTACATGTGTTAAACAACCTGTAGAATACTTATCTCCATGATGTACCTAGAGAAATGTAACATTAAAGTTAACCTGAGTTTATAACCAGGCAATACACCTTATATGCAATCTAATTATCTAATTAGCAATCATCTCTACAAGGTAATAGCTACATTGTTTGGTGAGCTCCATGCTTCCAGCTGGAAATCCCAATGTTAAAGGACTTAATTTGACACTTAATGGGGCCCATGCTGTGGCATAGCTGGTAAAGCTTCTGCCTGCAGTGCCAACATCCCTTATAGATGCCAGTTCGAGTCCCGACTGCTCCACTTCTGATCCTGCTCTCTGCTATGGCCTGGGAAAGCAGTGGAAGATGGCTCAAGTCCTTGGGCCCCTGCACCCACGTGGGAGACCCAGAAGAAGCTCCTGGTTCCTGGCTCCTGGCTTCGGATTGGCACAGCTCTGGCCCTTGAAGTGAACTGGAGTGTGAACCAGTGGATGGAAGACCTCTCTCTCTTAGTTCTCCTTCTCTCTCTATGTAACTCTTCCAAGTAAATAAATAATTCCTAAAAAAAGAGAAACTTAGCTATTTTTAAAAATAATTACAAATAATCTTAATTCTTGAGATTTGGGTGTGTTGGCAGGATTGGAAGCTGCAGCTTAACTCTCTGAATCACAGCACAGGTCCCTTCCTGAGGCTTTAAGATAAGCATTTTTAGTGTCTGGTCTAACAGAGTCAGAACCAGGGAGGAGGAGAAAAATGCTTATAGCTGCTACCTAGAAAGCTTAGGGAAGGAGGCTGGAATTACGGAGCAGCAGGTTAAGCCACCTGGAATGCCAGCATCCAATATCAGAGTGCTGGTTCCAGTCCTGGCTGCTCTGCTTTCAATGTATCTTCTTGCTATGTTCTTGGGAAGGAAACAGAGGATGGCCAGAGTACTTGGGCCCCACCATCCATATGAGAGATCCAGATGAAGTTCCTGCCTTTAACTTGGAGCACATCTGGCTGTTAAGGCCGTCTGGGCAATGAAATAGCAGATATAAGAGCTTGTGCTCTCTCTCTCCTTTCGCTCTCTAACCTCTCTCCCTCTCTCTGTCTCTCTCTCTCTCTCTGTCTCTCTCTCTGTGTCTCCTTTCTTTCTCAGTCTCTTTTTCTTTCAAATACATTAACTTTTTTTTTTTTTTATAAAAAAGAAGTTGTGGAGCTGGCACTGTTACGCAGTAGGTTAATCATCTGCCTGCAGAACCGGCATCCCATATGGGTGCTGGTTCTAGTCCTGGCTGCTCCACTTCCAATCCAGCTCGCTGCTGTAGCCTGGGAAAGCAGTAGAAGATGGCCCAAGTCCTTGGGCCCCTGCACCCCACGTGAGAGACCTGGAAGCAGCTCCTGGCTGCTGACTTTGGATCGGCAGAGCTCTGGCCATTGCAGCCATTTGGGGAGTAAACCAGCAGATGGAAGATCTCTCTCCCTTTCTGTCTGTAACTCTGCCTCTCAAATAATAATAATAATAATAATAATAATAATAATAATAATAAAAGAAGTTGAAGGAAAGAGTCCACAGTAAACTGGAAACTACCAGAGGAGAAGCTATGTTCTACAAAATGGATGATAATGTGTTAGTGAATATTTTAAAATTAAAGATCTAGACTTTTTAAAATACACTTAAAGGTCGATATTTTAAGAAAACTTTGCTGATTTAACACAAGGGAACAAATTTTAGTTTATGTACATGTACTTTTGATAGTAAACCTTATGTTTTAGAAACATATAAAGAATTTTCTTTTAATCTCAGTCAACCTAATCTAACAAAAGATTTCTTGTTCCTACAACTTTTAACATATTTTTAATTACTTGTAAGATAACTATTATTACTAATCAAAACATATCCATTATGTTCCATAGCTTTACTTAGTAAACACATTTTGTTTAGTTTAAAAATTTTTCATACCTGCTTTTTAGTTATACATTTGTATATAAATATATTTATTTATTTATACTTTTTATGATTTATTTATTTACTTGAAAGTTTTACACAGCTGGAGAAGGAGAGGCAGAGAGAGAGAGAGGGAGAGGTGTTCTATCCACTGGCTCACTACCCAACTTGCTGCAATGGCTGGAGTTGAACCCATCCAAAGCCAGGGGCCAGGAGCTTCTTCTAGGTCTCCCATGTGGTTGCAGTGGCCCAGGGACTTGGGCCATCTTCTACTGCTTTCCCAGGCCATAGCAGAGAGTTGCATTGGAAGTGGAGCAGCCAGGACTCAAACCGGTGCCCATAAAGGATGCCTGCACTGCAGGCAGCGGCTTTACCCACCTTGCCATCATGCCAGCAATACATTTATATATTTATATTTTGTTATGATTTTACCCTTCAATATGAAAAAATCCTTTAAAATCTCTAAGAGCAAAACATTTCCTTAAGAAAATTACATATAGATTTTTCATTTGAAAAATATTTTTCCTTTTTGATATTAAATTTGAAGTATTTTTTATTTAGATTTTTCTTTTCCCTATTTAATTTGGTTTTACATATAGAATTGTTACCCATAGTTATTTGAAGTAGTCGTGAATGGTTTGTGATATATCAACATTTTTTAAACTTTTAAAATTTATATGAAGAGAACTAATTTCATGTACTTCATACATGCAGTTTTAAAAACATATTGATACTTCCTACCCTACCCTCCTACCCTCTTTCCCTTGGTCCCACACTCCCTCCTTCTTTCTCTCATTTTTCTTTTGATGTTTGCAATGACATACTTTCTTTTTTTTTTAACTTTTATTTAATGAATATAAATTTCCAAAGTACGGCTTATGGATTACAATGGCTTCCCCCCCATAACGTCCCTCCCACCCGCAACCCTCCCCTTTCCCACTCCCTCTCCCCTTCCATTCACATCAAGATTCATTTTTGATTATCTTAATATACAGAAGATCAGCTTAGTATACATTAAGTAAAGATTTCAACAGTTTGCTCCCACACAGAAACATAAAGTGAAAAATAATAGATGATTTTGTAAATGATGATGAAATCAGATCAGACCTATTGTCATGCTTAATCGCAGTGAGAGTCAAGTTGGGAATTGATAATTTCTTTTTTTTTTTTTTTTACAGAAGATCAGTTTAGTGTACATTAAGTAAAGATTTCAACCGTTTGCACCCCCATAAAAACACAAAGTGAAATATACTGTTTGAGTACTCATTATAGCATTAAAATTCAATGTACAGCACATTAAGGACAGAGATCCTACATGAGGAGTAAGTGCACAGTGACTCCTGTTGTTGACTTTACCAATTGACACTCCTGTCTATGGCATCAGTAATCTCCCTATGCTCCAGTCATGAGTTTCCAAGGCTATGGAAGCCCTCTGAGTTCTCCGACTATCTTGTTTAGACAAGGTCATAGTCAAAGTGGAGGTTCTCTCCTCCCTTCAGAGAAAGGTACCTCCTTCTTTGAAGACCTGTTCTTTCCACTGGGATCTCACTCACAGAGATCTTTCATTTAGGTTTTTTTTTTTTTTTTTTTCCAGAGTGTCTTGGCTTTCCATACCTGAAATACTCTCATGGGCTTTTCAGCCAGATCGGAATGGCTTTAGGGCTGATTCTGAGGCCAGAGTGCTGTTTAGGACATCTGCCATTCTATGAGTGCAATGACATACTTTCAATTTACTTTGTAATCACAAGCTTAACCCTCCATTAAATAGAATTCAACAAATAGTAAGTAGAAAAACCACTGTTCCTCAGGAGTATACTTAAGGGCTATGAACATAATCAAATCTCAATATGTGAATTTAACTCATATACGTTACTTGATATATTTGTACTTGATATATTAGTTACCACCAATCAGAGAAAACATGTGATTGTCTTTTGGTACTGGCTGATAGTATTAACGATAATTGTCTCCAATTGGATACATTCTGATGTGAAAGACAGGATTTCATTCTTTTTTAGGGCTGTGGTATACATAACACAATTATATAACACAATTTCTCTATCTAGTCATCAGTTGATGGATATCTGGGTTTATTCCATATCTTAGCTACTGTGAATTGAGCTGATACAAAGAAAGATACTGATAACTCTATTATATGCTGTTTATCAACAATGTATAAAAGCATATTTGTTAACAGACCCAAATATACTGTGTTTATAAAACTGAAGAAGCCAACAGTCATTAAGTTATATTTAGAACTATTTCTCCTTTATATTTATCCAATTTATTTTAACAGGTATATTTACAGTAGTTATAAAAACTGACATACCAGGCAGAATAGTCAATTCAAATTATTATCCTTGAAACACAGAACACTATTATATTTTGACATGATCTTAGATTTATGCTTTTATGGACTTAGACATCAACAGACATACATGTGATCCTGCCTGGCCAGTAAACCCAGGCATAAACGTAAGTTGGCAAACTTAAAGACATTTTGTTTTACCAACAAATTTTAGCTATTTATCAGAGATGTATAAGTCCCATTACTTAATGGCATAAGTCTTAATTTAAAAGTTTTAATTTATGTGAGTGCATAATATCTTTAAGTCAATAAAAATATAGCTGTTAAGGGAATTTACTATGTGGACACAACACACAACATGGATAATATAACATATTTACATGTATTGCATATCACAAGAGAAAAATCAAGAAGTTCTATAACAGCTTTTAAAAAATTTTTGCTTTCTTCTTTTACTAATATTAATTGGATAAATTCTTTCTTGCTCTTTATTACTACTCTTAAACACTTGTTTTTAGTGAAAAGCAGAAAAAAGCAATTTTAAACTATCATTTATCAACACTCAGAGGGAACCTGCAGGGGAAAAAAGGTAACTTGAACATTTATGTGGCAAAACAACTCTAATCCTAAAAAAGCAGTTGAACATTTTCCATGCAATGAAAACTACATCTGAATTTCAGAGCCTTTAATTGACACTCTAATGGAGAGATGCTTTCCATGGCATAAGGATTATGATTGTTCCCCACTGTCAACTCTAGCAGGGGCTTCTGTGGGAAATTCTAACTTAGAGTTTGATAATAGCTTCACCTACCCCTGCCTGCTTATGGGGGTTAACAGAAAATAGTGAACTGCGGCCAAGCCCTTACCTAACAGGCCTGTGGGCAGTTAGCCAATAGGTGGGCCTGTGGTTTATCAAGACATGGATTGCCATTAAGGACCACAGAAAGGGCACAAGGGCATAAGGTGTTGGAACTTGATATCTTTTTCTTTCCAAGTTCATCTTCTCCACACCCTGCCACTTCAAGTATTGTGGTTGTACAATATAGAGGTGCCTCCTCTATTGGAGAGATCTGCGTGAAAGGGAAGGAGTACACATGGGGTGTGGAACATTATATCCAAAGGTCATATCAAAAACACAAATTACAACAAGAAGGTATAAGACATAACATGGAATATCCCCAACCCTCACTGGGTTCCATTATATTGCTCCTGGGCTAAAGTCTCTAAATGAGTCCAAGTGTAGTTTCCTAACCAAGTCCAGTGTTGTCAGTGACTGTGGTTACCTTCTGAGGTAGATGAGCTTCAGAGCTGGCAGGCAAATGACTGCACATCCAACAAACCAATCTGCTGGTCACTGTTGCAAAGCTGTTCAGTCCTCCAGGGTATTTGTAGCAATCAGGTTCTATCTATCTGATGGTGTGGGGGGGGGGGGGTAAAAATCCAGAAGTCTATGTGCCATCTTCCATGGTGAATCACAATTTCACATCCCATAGTTTACAGAATGGAGCACATATATTGTTACAAACATTGGCCATTACATTAAACCACGTATTAACAAATCAAAACATAGGTGGTGTCAGGTTAGGGCCACAAGGCTGAGTGCACAGTTACAAACATTCATTTTTGGGTTTATAGGACCCCGCCCACCTCTAAATCCCAAAATTGGTTGGAATCAGAATAACATGAAGACTTCAAATTGTCCTCACCACCAGAAGACTCAATTATTACACTTGTTGGACAGTCTTTTGGCACTGGGTTATCCTAGAGTCTGATGACTCCTTCCTTCCAGTTGTGGATGGCATTTCCTTTTGTCCCCAGCTGCCACAGGCTGTGCTGTCTTCTCTTTGTCCTCTTTGAGATATGTATGTGTTGAGATCTCTCCATGTCCTTTGGGCTGTACTTGGGCTCCGTAACTATACCATCTCCCTCTGCTTCAAATGTGTCTCCTGGGCTCTTCATCTTGGTTCTCAGGGGGGTCCTGGCCCACTGCTTGAACTCACAGTGGCTCAGAGAAATACACAAAGAACAGACACTAGACACAATGACACTCTGGTCATAGCACATTATCCACATTTGTGTTTGTGGTGGCAGTCATACACACACATGCATACATCCACACATAGCCAAACATCCACATATGGCCACATACAACAGTTGTATGCCTAACCACACCCCCGGTTGCTAAGTGTATTTACAGACCATAGTGGCTCAGTGGCTCAGAGCCAGGTAATTACATAACAGAGTTCTGGGCAGCAGGCCAATCAGGTGGCCTCTTGGTTACCAGGACATTATTGGTCCAAGAGGCACATAGATAAGAAGGAAAGGAGGGCATGAGGGTGTGGGAACTTGGTACCTTCATCTTCTCAAGTTCAACTTCTCAACTCTCTGCCACTTCAAGTATCCTCACCGTACAATCTGTGTTTGCCTCCAGATAGATCCAAATACAAGGCAAGGAGTACAATGGGAACTGGAACATTTAATCCAAAGGCCGTAACAATAGTGCAAGTTACAATGCAAAAGTATAAGACATAACATAGAACACCCGCAACCATCATTGAAAGTCATTATTCTGCTCCTGGGCTAATGTCTCTAGATGAGTCAAAGTGTACTTTCATAAGCAAGTACAGTGTGGTCAATGGCTTTGGCCACCTTCCAAAGTAGCTGAGTTGTAAAGCTGCATGCAACTTGTTGCACATGGAACAAGCCAATTGGTTGGTCATGACTGCAAAGCTGTGCAGTCCACCACGGTATTTTTAGGCATCAGGTTGTATTCATCTGTTGAGGGCAATGTCCAGTAGTCTATACGCCATCACCCCAGGGAATCACAGGTTATTATCCCATGTTTACAGAATGGAGCACATATATTATTACAAACATTGGCCATTACATTCAACCACTTATTACCAAATCAAAACATATGGCTGTATCAGGGTCAGGGCTGCAAGGCTGAGTGCAAAGTTAAAAACATTCATTTCTTTGTATCCAGCCCCAACAATGGGAACCTGACCACCCCTAAACCACATAACCCTGAAGGACTCAGAAACCTGCAATAACACTGAATTGTCCACTCAACCATAACAATTGCTTCATGGTCTTTTGACACTGGGTGATACTTGGAGGGTGACAACCCCTCTCTTACAGGGCACAGACTGAATATTCTTTTGTCCTAAGTTGCCAATGGCTGAGCTGTCTTCTCTCTGACTTCCTTTGGAGGTGTCTACGTAGCTGTGTCTCCACATCCTGTTGGCTGTGATTGGGCTCCAGAAACTGCAGCATCTGCCTCTTCCTCATCTGTTGGTCCCTTGTCCTCTGGATGTTGGGTCTCAGGGAGTCCTGCCCAGCTTTCTTTACTCACAGTGGTGAGGAGAAGTGTGTAAGCAGCAGAAACTAGACCCTGATGGCAATGGGGCCACAGAAGATATCCACATTGTGTCCATGGCAGCATCAGAATCACACAGAGACATCTGCACATGTCCACACATAGCCACACACCCCCATACAGCTGGTCCACCAATAGCCATGTCCGGCTGTGCCCTCCAGTTGCTTATGTGGGTTTACAGACAAAAGTGGCTCAGAGCCAAGCATGAGCATAACTGGATTGTGGGCAGCAGGCCAAGCAAGTGGGCCTGTTGGTTACCAGAACACTGGTGACAACAGAGGCACACAGGTGGACAGAAGGACATAAAAGCATGGGAATGCAAAAACTTCACCTTCTGAAGATAATCTCTGCAAGAGGTAGCCATCTGTAGAGGTTGTAGTCCTGGCAGATTTTTTGGGCAAATTTGCTATTGGATATTTGTATTCATGTATAATGACAATTTTTATATATCCTTTTGGTCTAATATAGTTTAATGTTGGCATTAATAAAAATATCTTGATGTTAATATGCTCTTCCCCTTTTCATCTTTTTTTATTTTAATGAAAACACTGCTGACCTGTCATGCTGTTTTCATATTCTGTTTGCTCTTCTGCTCTGGGTAGACTTTCTCTTGCTGTTTGTTCTGATTTGGTCCATGTTTGGGTGGAAAAAGTTGACAACCCAGAGTCAGTATTATAAACCCTTTAGCTACATATTTGAGTAACACAGAGATTTTAGAAGAAGGGGTTTTTAGACAAAATTTACTTGCAGTATATTGCTAAATTGAATTTAATAATTTCTGTAGGCAAGAACTTATCATCATCATGTCAGAATCAGGCCAGGATTATTTTACTGGGAAAAGGATTTTTGTAGAATGCTGACTGGTGACAGGCATGAAGTTCCAAAGAAAGAAATCACAACAGTCCACCAAGAAATCAAGTTTGTGTCTTCAAAACCATAAACAGACCAGTTCTGTGGTAAAGCAGGTGTCTGTGGCCTGCACTTCCCACATCCAATATGGGCACTGGTTCAAGTCTCCTTCTCGTGTAATTCTGATCCAGCTCTCTGCTGTGACCTGGGAAATCAGTAGAGGATGGCCCAAATACTTGGGCACTTGCACCCACCTGGGAGACCCAGAAGAAGCTCCAGGCTTCTGGCTTCAGATCAGCCCAGGTCTGGCCATTGTGGCCATTTAGGGAGTGAACCAGTGCATGGAAGACCCCCCCACACCAATCTCTGCTTCTGCCTCTCTGTGATTTTGCCTTTCAATTATATAAATCAAATAAATAAATAAATAAATAAATAAATCTCTCAAAAACCCATCTAACTGTAGGCATTTTATAACTGAGTTTGTACAAGTATAATAAACAGTTGATCCTTCAAATTTAAAACACGATTTAGAAAGTGTTTTAAGGTAGGAAGCCTAACCAAGGAAGTCTTATTTTGTATGTTATACTAACTAATCATTTAAGTTTTAAGATCTATTTTCTATTTTTAATAAGAATTATTTATTTACTTGAATGGTAGAGACAGAAGGGGGGGACAGATAGAGGGAGAGGGAGGGATGCAAGAAGGAAGGGAAAGAGAGAGAGAGAGAAGGGAGAGGGAGAGAATCTTCCAACCACTCTTTCACTTCCCATATGGCCGCAATGGTCAGAACTGTCCTGGGTGGAAGCCAGGAGCTGTAGCTTCTTCTGGTTCTTCCACATGGGTTCAAGAGACCAAACACTTGGGCCATCCTCCACTGCTTTCCCAGGCATGTTACTGGGGAGGTGGATCAGAACTGGTGCAGCTGGAATCAAAACAGCACCACAGACAGCAGCTTTACTTATTACACCACTACCCCAGCCCCATGATCTATTACTAAGGGGTCATTTTATTTACTCACTGAAATGCTGGGTCCATGACATTTTTGTTTATTTTTAGATTTATCAGTGTTTAAGTTGTATTTTACTATGAGAACACATTTTAATGAATTTTTGATAATAATTACATTGTCATGAAAATCATTCTCATTAAGTAATTTTTGAATTTGGAGGAACTTAGTAGGAAGGAAAGGTAAATGTATGTTTATAAATTTTTGTTTATAAAACATAGTCCACCAAATTATTATAAACTCCAGCAGTTGCAGAAAAATCTTTAAGCCTTCAGACAAAACACCTAAGCAGAGAACCAACAATGTTTTAATTAAGACACAGAAAGCTACTACTTGATCCATTCAGTCTCTATGAACTTATCCTTTTATCTTGTGTGATTACGGTAGCAGGTTTATGAATCTGTCAAATTTTTAATCAGAATTTTTGAATTATTTAATTAGTTCAGTCTGTCAGAAACCTGCATTTGTTAGATTCTTTTTGGTTATAAATGTTTTTAGAGAAGAACCAGAACTGTGGATGACAAAAGACTTAAAATCACCATGAATAAAACTTCAGTAATAGTTGATTGGTTTATGAGATGATTAGTTATATTTCCTGTATGTAGTATTTCGACAAGGACAGACTGTTTTACAAACACTTTTATGTTTTTTTGGCCAACATAATCTGGCTGGAAATTATTATTTTGTAGAATAATTGTAGAATTGACAGCTGAAAGAAAAAAGTTTAGAAGGAAAAATACACAAAAAACTAACAATGGTAAAACAAATCAAGTTGTATCTTAAACACAACAAATAATGTAATTGTAGGCATACTACTGTGATCTGTAAAATTACAATAAAAAAGTTGATTTAGATTTTTAAATGTCAGATTTAGAAGATTTTTAATTTTCCATTTTATGTATTCATATATCTATTGTATTTAGTATTTTAAAAGCACCGTAGTGTTTTCAAAAATACTTAATTTTTGAGGTCTTTGGAGTTTTTTTCATTTTTAATTATCTTTATATACAGAAGATCAAGTGAGTATATACTAAGTAAAGATTTCAACAGATTGCACCCACACAGACACACAAAGTATAAATACTGTTTGCATACTGCTTTACCATTATTTCGCATAGTACAACACATTGAAGACAGAGATCCTACATGGGGAGTAAGTGCACAGTGATTCCTGTTGTTGATTTAACAATTGACATTCTTATTTATGACGTCAGTAATGACCCATGGCTCTTGTCATAAGCTGCCAAGGCTATGAAAGCCTCTTGAGATCACAAACTCTAACCTTATTTAGTCAAGGCCATAATCAAAGTGGAAGTTCTCTCCTCCCTTCAGAGAAAAGAACCTCCTTCTTTGATGGCCCGTGTTTTCAGTGGGATCTCATTCACAGAGTTCTTCAATTTAGGACATTTTTTGCAACAGTGTCTTGGCTTTCCACATCTGAGAAACTCTCAGGGGCTTTTTAGCCAGATCTGAGAGTCTTAAGGGCTGATTTTGAAGCCAGAATGCTGTTTAGGGCATCTGCCATTCTATGAGTATGCTGTGTATTCTGTTTCCCATGTTGGGTTGTTCTCTCCTTTTTAATTCTATCAATTATGATTAGGTCTTGTTTATGTGATCTCTTTGACACTTAATCCTATCTTTATGATCAATTATGAACTTAAGATGATCACTTTAACCAGTAAGGTGGCATTGGTACCTGCCAACTTAATGGGATTTGCAGTTCCAGGGCACGTTTCCAGCTCTCCCACTAGGGGTAAGTCTGAGTGAATGTATGAAGCCTCTGGATTTTTGAAGGGAATGGCAACTCCAAAGATCTTTTACAGTCACAAGGTCTTTTATATTACTAAGATAAGTCATGACTGATGACATCACACCAGAACCAGCAGACATTTATAAGTGTTGTAAAACCTGTAGGATATTTATATCCATGACACAGCTGTATAAATTTGTTATATTTAACCTGAGTTTACAAGAGGGCAATACTCCTTACATATAATCTAATTATCTAATTAGCAATCAACTCTACTAGGTGACAGCTACATTGTTGGAGGAGCTCTGGGATTCCAGCTGGAAATCTCATTGTCAAAGGAATTAATTTGAAGCATACCTATTTTTAAAAACAGATACCAATAATCTTAACTCTTGAAACTCACATGCACCAGCAGGAAGCTAATGTAGCTTCCTGTAGCAAGCCTCAGCTTAACCCCCTGTATCACAGCATGGGCCCCTATCTGAGGCTTTTTTTTTTTTTTTTGGACAGGCAGAGTGGACAGTGAGAGAGAGAGACAGAGAGAAAGGTCTTCCTTTGCTGTTGGTTCACCCTCCAATGGCCGCCGCGGCCGGCGCACTGCACTGATCCAATGGCAGGAGCCAGGTACTTATCCTGGTCTCCCACGGGGTGCAGGGCCCAAGCACTTGGGCCATCCTCCACTGCCTTCCCGGGCCACAGCAGAGAGCTGGCCTGGAAGAGGGGCAACCGGGACAGAATCCGGCGCCCCGACCGGGACTAGAACCCGGTGTGCTGGCGCTGCTAGGCGGAGGATTAGCCTAGTGAGCTGCGACGCCGGCCCTGAGGCTTTTAAGAGGAGCATTTTTAGTGTCCTGTCAGCCTCAGAACCAGGAGGAGAAAACTGCTTACAAGAGCTGCCTAGAAAGTTAAGGGAGAGAGGCTAGAGTTGTGGAGACTTACTAGGACTTACTAGACTAATATTAGACTGCTGGTTCCAGACCTGGCTGCTCCTCTTCTAGTCCAGCACTCTGCTATGTGCTTGGGAAGGCAGAAGATTGCCCAAGTAGTTGGGCCACTGCTACCCACATGGGAGACCTAGCTGAAATTTCTGGCTCCTACTTTCAGGCTGGCCCACACTTGGTTGTTAAGGCCATTTGGGGAATCAAAAAGCAGATGGAAGATCTGTCTTGTTATCCCTCTCCCTCCCTCTATCACTTTACTTTTCAAATAAAGAAATTCCTATAAAAATAAAATAAAGTTGGGGCCAGTTTTGTGGCATAGAAGATAAAGCCACCGCCTATGACTCCAGAATCCCATAAGGGTGCAGGTTCCAGTCCCAGCTGCTAAACTTCTGATCCATCTCCTTATTAATGCATCTGGGATAGCAGCAGAAAATGGCCCAAGTGCTTGGGCCCTCGCACCAATGTGCGAGACCAGGATGAAGCTCCTGGCTCCTAGTATTGTACAGGAGCAGTTCTGTCCTTAGCAGCTATTTGGGGAGTGAGCCAGCAGATGGAAGACTTCTCTGTGTGTCTCCCTCTGTTTCTTTTTCTGTAACTCTGCCTTTCAAATAAATAAATAAATCTTTAAAAATTGAGGGAAGAGTTATCAATGAAATGGAAACTAACAAAGCAGAAGCTGTAGTTCAGAAAATGGTCAAAAATGTATTAACAAATATTTTAAAGAGGAGCCAGCATTGTGGCATAGCAAGTAAAGCCACCGCTAGTGGTGCCAGCATCCCATATGGGCACAGATTCAACTCCCAGCTGCTCTACTTCTGACCAAGCTCTCTGCTGTGGCCTGGGAAGGCAGTGGAAGATGGCCCAGGTTCTTGGACCCCTGCACCCATGTGGGAGATCAAGAAGAGCTCCTGGCTCCTGGCTTCGGATTGATACAGCTATGGTCATTGCAGCCAGTAGAGGAGTGGGCCAGCGGATGGAAGACCTCTCTCTCTCTCTGCCTCTCCTTCTCTCTCTGTGTAACACTAACTTTCAAATAAATAAATAAATCTTTAAAAAAAATTTTAAGATCAACACTTTATAAAAAATTTACTAACAGCAATTTGTTTTAAAGATTTATTTACTTATTTGAAAGGCAGACTTACAGATAGATGGAGAGATAGACAGAGAGATCTTCCATCAGCAGACGGTTCATTCCCCAGGTGGCCACAATGGCTAGGATCAAGCCAGGCTGAAGCCAGGAACCAAAGCTTCAGGTGTCCCACACTGGTGGCAGACCCAAGCAGACCCACTGCTTTCCCAGGTAATTAGCAGAAAGCTGGATCAGAAGTGAAGCAGACTTGAACTGGTATCCATATGGGATGCCAACATTGCAGGCAGTGGCTTTACCCACTATGCCACAATGTCAACCCCATTACTAACACTATTTTAAGAAAACCTTGTTGCTTTAAGACAGGGGACCAAATTTAAACATTATATCAGTGTACTTTTGACAACAGCTTAAGGTTTAGAAACATATAAGTAATATTCATTTAATCTCAGTCAACCCAATCTCACAATAGATTTTTTTTACAAACTTTTAATGTATTGTTACTTACTTGTAGTATATTAATCAAAACATATTCCTTGTATCCCATAGCTTTATCAAAAACGTGTGTTATGCTCTTATTTTTAAATATTTTAAAAGTACCTTCCTAGTTTTTATTTATACATATATTTTATATTTTCACATATAAATTTGAAACAGTTCTTTAAAAATCTCTAAGAATAAAACATTTTTAACAAAAGTGCATATAACCTTTTATACTTTTTTATACATTTTACTTTTTCAGTTTAAATTTATTTGTTATTTGTTTTTGCATTGCTTTTCCCTGATTATCTTTACATATAGAATTTTTGCCCTTAGTTATTCTGAAATAGACTTGAATTGTTTGTTATGTAGGAATAATTTTTAATTAAATTTAAAAAATGTAAATAAAGGAAATCAATTTCAAGTATTTAATATATACAGTTTTTTAATGCTTTTATTTAATGAATGCATTTTTCATAGGTACAACTTTAGGAATACAGTGGTTCTTTCTTCTATACCCACACTCCCAACCCCATTCCCATCCCACTTTCTACTCCCTCTCCCACCCCTTCTGAATTATGGTTCATTTTTAGTTTAATTTCATATACAGAGGACCAACTCTTTGTTAAGTACAGATTTCAAAAGTTTGCATATCCATATCTCGGCTATTGTGAAATAGCTGCTGTAAACAAGGGCTACAGATGATTTCTTTATATTCTGTATATCAACAAATTATACAAGCATACTTGTTAAGAGACCCAAATATGCTGTTTTTATAGAATTTAAGAAACCAAGAGTATTAAATTGATGTCAAAATATTTATCACATTTATATTCATCTAATTTATATTTAACAAGTATAGTTACATTAGCTATGAAAACTGAAATATCAGGCAAGCATGGTAAAGTTAAACTGTTTTCCTGAAACACAGAACACTATGGTACTCTGACATGAGCTTAGGTTAGATTTCTATTTTCATGATCTTAACTATCTAACATATATAACTATGATCCAGATTGGCCAGTAAACCCAGGCACAAACATATGTTAACAAACATAAAGACATCTTTATTTTACCAACAAATTTTAGCTATTTATCAAGGATTTATAGAAGTCCCATAATCTAAAAAGCATATAGCTTATTAACACATATATAACATGCATCACAAGAAAAAAAAAACAAGCGGTTCTGTAACAGTTTTTTCAATTATTTGAAATGCAGAGTTACAGAGAGGTGGATGAAGAAAGAAGTTTTCCATCTGTTGGTTCACTCCCAAAGCGGCTTCAATGCTCAGAGCTGGGCCAATTCTAAGCCAGGAGCCAGGAGCTTCTTCCAGGTCTCCCACACAGGTGCATGGGCCCAAGCACCTGCACCATCTTCCACTGCTTTCGCAGGCCATAGCAGAGAGCTGGATTGGACAAGGAGCAGCAGGGACAAGAACCTGTGCCTATAAGGGATGCGGACACCTCATGCAGAGGCTCAGCCTGCTATGCCACAGCACTGGCCCCTCCCTTGTTCTCATATAGCCAGTTGGAAGTTACCACAGAAATCCCTGGTGCAACTGACAGTGGAGAATAATAAGAACAATCATAAGAATAATACTGTAGAATGTGTTTCTCTATTAGAGCATCAATTAAAGGCTCTGAAATATGTGGCTATTACCCACTATACCATAGTGCCAGCTCCCCCTGGACCAGCTTTAAAAAAACTTTTCCTTTCTTCTTTTATAATATTAATCAATTAGAATTATTTCTTGCTCTTAGTTGTTTTAATTAAATACTATTTTTAGTAAAAAAATGGTAAGCAGTTTAAAACTATCACATAAATATCAGCTAGAACCAGCAGGGAAAAAAAGGTAATTTTATCAGTTATGTCATAATTATAATCCCAGGAAAGGAGTTGAATATTTTCTCATGCAACAAAAATAAGACCTGAATTTCAGAGCCTTTAATTGAGACTCTAAAGAGAGATGCTTTCTATGGAATTAGAATTATGATTATTATTATTCTCCACTGTCAATTGCACCAGAGACATCTTTTTTTAAGAAAGCTTTTATTTAATAAATATAAATTTCCAAAGTACAGCTTTTGGATTACAGTGGCTTTCCCTCGCCCCCATAACTTCCCTCCTACCCACAACCCTCCCATCTCCTTCTCCCTCTCCCATTCCATTATAATGATCACTTTTACTACTACAATGGCATTAGCACCTGCCAACTTAATGGGATTTGGAGTCCCAGGGCAAGTTTTTAGCTTTACCCTTAGGTTCAGTTTGTGGGAACATGTGTGGAACTTATTCCCATTCTTATTTTCTTTACAAGGATCATTTTTCGATTGGGAGTAAAAACCTAAGAATAATTTTTTGTTAAGATTTCAACCAATGGTATTAAGTATAAAAAGAAAATACTAAGAAGAATAAAATAGTAAGCTGTTCCCTGACAGGACAAGGGCTGATCAAGTCATTGCTTTTCATAGTGTCAGTTTCGCTTCCAGGTTTCCTGTTAGGTAGTTGCCACAGATCAGGGAGAACATGTGATACTTGTCCCTTCGGGACTGGCTTATTTCACTCAGCATGATGTTTTCCATATTCCTCCATTTAGTTGCAAATGACTTGATTTCATTTTTTTTACCACTGTGTAGTATTCCATGGGGTACATATCCCATAATTTCTTTATCCAGTCTTCCGTTGATGGGCATTTAGATTGATTCCATGTCTTAGCTATTGTGAATTGAGCTGCAATAAACATGGAGGTGCAGACAGCTCTTTGATTTACCGATTTAATTTACCTTGGGTAAAGTCCGAGGAGTGGGAAGGCTGGGTCATCTGGTAGGGCTATATTCAGATTTCTGAGGTATCTCCAAACTGGTAAAGCCACTATTAAAGACAGTTCAGAGATACCTCAGAAATTGCATCAGAGACTTCTGTGGCAACTTCAAACTCACTTTATGAGAACAAGGGAGGGACTGGTGCTGTGGCAAAATAGGCTGATTCCACCTGTGGTGTCGGCATCCCATATGGGTGCCAGGTCCTGTCCCGGCTACTCCTCTTTGGATCCAGCTCTCTGCTATGGCCTGGATAAGTAGTAGAATAAGGTCCAGTAATTGGGCCCTCACACGCATATGGGAGACCCAGAGGAAGATCCTGGCTGTGGCTCTTGCCTCAGACTGGCTCAGCACCGGCCATTGAAGCCATTTGGTGAGTGAACCAGAGGATGGAAGACCTCTCTCTATCTGTCTCTCCCTCTCTCACATAAATTTTTAAAAATCTCTTTTTTCTTTAAAAGAAAAAGACAATAAGGGGAATCCCTGGGCCTCAATCTTTGGAATCTGGTGCATATATAAGGCCATATAGTATTGCCAATTTTGTTCTCAGTCATAGAAGGATAATTATAAGCTGCCCCAATGAGCTGGAATGGGGCTCAGTGGGCTTTTAGAAGGAACTTGCGCTGGCAGGAAGTCCAAACAAATGGCAGTGGAAGAGGATTCCCAGTGTGTACCCAGTTGAACTTCCAAGTCATGGAATCCCAGGACTCCCAAAAGGACCATTTCCTTGTACCAAAAAAAAAAAAAAAAAAAGAAAGTGATAACAGGCAATTGATGTCACAGCAAGGACAGAAGGGAAGACATCCAGGAAAATGGACTCAGCAGCATCTGGGATCTCCCTGAATCCCTGCCATGGGTCAGCTCACCAACAACAGCCTGGTGGACACAGCAGTGCTCACCTTTCCCAGTAACATGTGAGAACCGAGACCCCATTCCTGGCTAGCTCACCATCTGTTACATTCAAAATTAGGCCCAGGCTGCTCCCCACTGAGCAGTCGATTCACCAGAAGTGAGAACTGATGCAAGGAGACAGCTTTATTTAAGAAGCCAGCATTCTTAGAGAAAATGCAGACCTCTTTGATCCCAAATATGCTCTTTCCCAAGAGTGCTAGCTCCTTAAAGGAACCTGTTGCCTTTCACTGACTCCATTTCTGGTGAATTGCATGTCTAGTGGTGAGCAGCCTGGACCTAATTTTGGCCAATAAAAAGACACTCTGGCACTCTGATATGGAACATGGACATTCCAACCAGTCGCTTAGCTGCTAACTATTTATCCACTCCTCTTGTTATTAAGTTTTAAACAGGCCATATTGCTATCCTTCTGTACTATCGTATGATCTGAAATATTTTTCAATTATTATATATGCACACACATATGTACGTATATATATGTGTATATATGTATTTCATTCCCTTACCTGGGAAGAGAAAGAACATTTAATTCAAACAGTAAAACCAAAAATAAAAACTAAAAAAAGGCGTCTAGGAGATGTGGGACTTCACTGAATCATATGGGAACTGGAACATTTGGTGTGGGAAGCACAGGTAGGCAGCTAAGACTTCTGAACTTGAGCTGACCCCCCCACCACTTACTGAAGTAAACTGATGGAATGAATGTTTGTCCCTGGAAATACGGATATTACACTACAGGAAAATTCACAATAGAGAGGTGTTCATAGTAAGAACTAAAAATAGTTTTCTCTATTAATATCACAACGAAATTACTAAAAATGCTAACATAAATGTATAGGAGAGGCTAGCAAATGAGTCCTACCATGATCACTTTCCATAAATCAATGTAACATTTTTGAGTCCTTAAAATTCTCACCATTTAAATCCAAACAATGATTAAAAAAAAAAAAAAAAAAAAAACAACTACGAATAAGACCCCAAACATCTCAGCAGGAGTCCCCAGATCCCTATGCACCCTGAATGAAAACAGCGATTTCTGCTCCCCAGCCCCTCCCCATCTGACACAGATCTCCCCCAAGATCAACTCCTTTAGGTGCCTGCACTGAGTCCTACATTCTCAAGGTCGGGCATTCGGGCTGCGTTTCTGTCTCCTGTCCACTCTGGCACTGTACCACGTATTAGATCGGCAATGATCTGCAGAATAAATTTTAAACGTTCGAGCCACTTGGGCAACAGAGGGTTTACCAAGCCCGGTGCTGAAATCAGTGCCAACACACCGCCAACTGGAGACTTTCGGGCAGAAATCAGTGTTCTCCATTCCAACTGTTTAAAGAGACAGAGAGCGGACCCCAAATCTGCACCCTGGTGTGGACCAAAAGGCGAACACAGCACCAGCCCCACCCTCCTTCCCAGTCCAGCGCTCAGGACTCCCACAAGAGGAGCACCTGGCACTGGCCTTGGGAGCGCTCCTCTCACTGCAGAGCCTGGTGAGCCGAAGACGGAGCCAGGCTTCAGGCAGCAGCTGCCAGGCTGGGATGGAGAGCGCTGTCACTTTGGTCCGCCGCGACGCCCAGCGGGATGCAACGTCTCCCTGTGCCCTCGAGAGGTGTCGGGGGAAGAGTTGGGGCGCTGGGGCCACAGCCAACCCGGAGGAGGGAGAAACTCCTGTATTGTGACGTCCGCAGACAGGGGGGCGGCGCGCGCAGAGAGGGAGGCGTGGCCACCAGAAGGCCGGCAGATTTGGCTGGCGCGGGTCTGGCGCTCTTCTCCCTTCTGCTTCCAAAGCAAAGTCGCAGAGTAGGTGTCTGTGCGGTAATGCAGTGTCTGCTCCGCTGCCCGCCATCGTGCCCGCCGCCCACCGCAAACGTGAGTGGCGACGGCTCGGGCTCTGAGAGGCCCAGTGGGCCCGCCACCAGCAACCGCACCTTACTCGGTGGGCTTCGCAGGCCGGGGTGGGGTGCGAGTGGACAGTGTCCCCAGGCCTGCTCCATGCAGGTCCCTTAGTCCTCTGGGAGGGGTCCGCGGGTTGTGCCTAAACCTCCTGGTTCTGCCAGGTTTGGGGATGAGAAAAGTGTAAATCCATGAGGAAAATGCTTTATTTTTTTTTAAACTTTTATTTAATGAATATAAATTTCCAAAGTACAGGATATGGATTACAATGGCTTCCCCCCCATAACGTCCCTCCAACCCGCAACCCTCCCCTTATCCACTCCCTCTCCCTTCCATTCACATCAAGATTCATTTTCTATTCTCTTTATATACAGAAGATCAGTTTAGCATACATTAAGTAAAGATTTCAACAGATTGAAAATGCTTTATTTTCTTGCCTTCCACTCCAGTCCTGAATGAAAAAAGTTTGCCCATGTTGGGTCTTCATCTCATCAGAGGTGCTAGTTTTTGTGTTTTGTTTTTTTTTTAGGAATTTTTGTGTATGAGAATCTCAAATTAATTTTTTACCCCCAAAGCTCCTATTTCTGATGGAAAAAAATTTCAGTATATGTGAGGCTTTGATGGTCTGTTGAGACAGTGCCCTAAAATGAGGCATTCAGTGTTTCCTTGAAAGAGAAAAATCAGTAGCAGTGCAAGGGAAGCAACATGATAATTATCTGAAACCTTATCAAACCCAGCTGTACTAACTTGACATACACAGTTTATACTGGGTCTGTTTTCCATATTTAGAAATTTGTTTTGTATTTGATGAGCTGATTCTCCCTAGAAAGAAGTAAAATATGAATGTTTGAAAGTGGAGAATTGGAGCAAAACATAACAAATTTTGAGAGAATAACTGAAAAATAACAAATCATTGTTAAAATGAGGCAGTGGGCAAAAAACACACACTTTTTTTTAGCTTTATTTAAAAGGCACAGTGGCCAAGAGAAAGGGCTGGAAAGAGAGAGATCCTGCTGACTGACTCCTCAAGTGCCTACAGCAGCTGGGTCTAGTCAAGGCCGAATCCTATAGCCAGGAACTTCCACCTGATCTCCCGTGTGGGAGCTAGGGGCCCAGGTGGTTGGGTTGACTTCTGCTGCCTTCCTAAGTGCACTAGCAGAGAGCTGGATAGGAAGCAGTGCTCTGGGGAGGAATGCAGGTGTCCCAGTGGCCCCTTAACCAACTCTGCCACAACTCTGACCCCCTAATAGAAGCATGTTACTAAGATGTCAGTGGTTGTGTTTCCTTTTTGAAATGCTTGGTTCTTGCTTGTGCCACTTGACATGCTTTTCATATTCTTCTTTTGTCATTTTCTCTATGGAGCAGGCCTTTATCTTAGTGATTAAGAGGCCCACATCCTGCATCAGAGTGCCTGGGTTTGCTTCCTGGATTCAGCTCCTGATTCTTACTCCAGGTTCCCACCAATGCTATACCCTGTGAGGCAACAGAGATGGCCCAAGTGACTGGGTTCCTGCCATGCAGGAAGGAGAGCTAGATTAAGATCCTGGCTTCAGCCTCAGCTTTTCCAGGCATTTGGGGAGTGAATCAGTGGGTGGCATCTCTGTCTCTGTCTCTCTGTCCCTCAGATACTTTTCTAAAAAGCCAGAATAGTGTATGTCTTAGCTGTTTTATGCAGAAAACATAACCTGTATATCCTGATTCCTCTGCCATAGATATTTTCTAGCCATAATTACAATTAATTTTCTGTTCTTCTATATTTGACTTTCTTCATAACTTTTAACAGTAATTTGATTTGTATGGTAGTGCATTTATATCTTGTTTAACATGTGATAGACACACTGAAAAGACACAATCAGTATCTACAGCTTTGTGATGTCAGAGGACATGGGTTTTTTTTATTCTCTCTCATTTGTTATTTTCTGTTGCCTTAAAAATACCCTTTTTTTTGGCTTTCAAATTTTTATTTATTGATTTTTGGAACACTTTTTTCTTACCAGTTTTCTTAATAAAAATACAAAAGATCATTGATAATCCTCTTTAAAATTGCTTTGGTGTGCCACCAATATTTTTATTAATTTTAATTGTACAATATTATGAAATAAAGGTGTGATAATTTTATACATATATCTCAATGAGTAATGATCAACCCCAGATCTTAATATGATGGAGATGCAAGAGTATTAAAGAAATGTTTACATCTCTTTTTTTTTAACTTTTATTTTAATGAATATAAATTTTCCAAAGTACGGCTTTATGGATTACAATGGCTTCCCCCCCCATAACGTCCCTCCCACCCGCAACCCTCCCCTCTCCCACTCCCTCTCCCCTTCCATTCACATCAAGATTCATTTTCGATTTTCTTTATATACAGAAGATCAGTTTAGCATACATTAAGTAAAGATTTCAACAGTTTGCTCCCACACAGAAACATAAAGTGAAAAATAATAAATGATTTTTTAAATGATGATGAAATCAGATCAGACCTATTGTCATGTTTAATCCCAGTGAGAGTCAAGTTAATACCCTCTTTTTTTTAAAGCATTTATGGTGGCTACTCTGTTGGGTTACAGCTTCTGGGCAAAGACTATATATTGGGGGTACGACTGGTTTATGTGATTGTAAAATAAAATTAATTATGAAGAGCAGTATATCTAGCATATCTTGGGAAAAACACAAAGTAGAAATGAATAATAACAACTTTGGAAATAATACTTTGGGGCACAAATAAGAATAACTTATGAAAAGTAGAGATTTAGCATAAAATACTATGCATTGGATTGAATGTTTGAAAGACAACCCTGTAACTGCCTCACCCCCCTACAGTGAGTAACTGGAAAAGCCTTTGAACTATCAAGTATCTATATCCTAAAAGACTGGTACTTTTCACAGTGAGCTTCAGCTTTCATACCTTTAGCAAAATGTATAAGAGCTATGAGAGGAGAAAATACCCAAAGTCTTATACTTTAAGGACAATTATAAGATAACATTAAATTTTATTCCGTTTCTTTAGTTATGAGAAGTGTAAGGCTTTACTTCTCGATGAACTTACATAATGATTTTACTATGTAAAGTGTATGGGGGCCGGCGCCGCAGCTCAATAGGCTAAATCATCTGCCTAGTGGCGCTGGCACACCGGGTTCTAGTCCCGATCGGGGCGCTGGATTCTGTCCCAGTTGCCCCTCTTCCAGGCCAGCTCTCTGCTATGGCCCAGGAGTGCAATGGAGAATGGCCCAAGTGCTTGGGCCCTGCACCCCATGGGAGACCAGGAGAAGCATGTTTTGTAAACATGGCTTTTAGTAACTGTGCATTCCCCAAGCTATAAGTTGCTAATAAAAAAAAAAAACTTGATGTGTGCAGCTTCTTTATCCCTGAAGTCATTAGCACAATTACTAAAGTACAGAATACACTAATGATGTACTTAGATATTGAAAAAGATAAACAGAAACAACATACATAAAACAATGACAGTACCCATGGGAAATATGTTATACCTTTGCTATACTGTTTTTTTTTTTTTTTGGCAAGGATTTGTCACCTGTACTTTATACAATTTAATCGGATTCCAATCTTTCTAATATCATGAATCAAAATTTTTAACATTTTAATGTTCATTTCCTTAATTATTACAAATGTCGGGCACTTCCTTGTGCTAGTTATTTGGATTGTCCCTTTGGGAAATTGCCTAAAGTTTGGTGGGAGGAATCCTGGAGGAACCAGCCAAATTTTTTCTCAAACATAATTGTTACTCAGTATCTTTTATGGAAAAAAATGATTGTTAACTGATATGAAACATCATGTTACTATTTGTATATACATCTGTTTTTCATATTTTATTTATTTAAAAGACAGAGTTACAGAGAGAGGTAGAGACAGAGAGAGAAAGGTCTTCCACCTGCTGGTTCACTCCCCAGATGGCCGCAATGGCTAGATTTGTGCCCATCTGAAGCTAGGAAACAGGAGCTTCTTCTGGGCCTCCCACGTGGGTGCAGGGGCCCAAGGACTTAGGCCATCTTCTACTGCTTTCCCAGGCCACAGCAGAGAGCTGGATCAGAAGGGGAGCAGCCTGGACTATAACCAGTGCCTATATGGAATGCCAGCACTTCAGGTCAGGGCTTTTAACCCACTGTGCCACAGCGGCAGCCCCCTGAGGCTTTAAGATAAGCATTTTTGTGGCGTAGCAGGTAATGTCACCGCCTACAGTGCTGGCATCCCATATGGATGCTGGTTCTAGTCCGGCTGTTCCACTTCTGATCCAGCTCTCTGCTTTAGCCTGGGAAAACAGTAGAGGATGGCCCAAATTCTTGGATCCCTGCACCCACATGGGAGACCCTGAAGAAGCTCCTGGCTTCAGATCGGCACAGCTCTGGCCATTGCAGCCATCTGGGGAGTGAGCCAGCAGATGGAAGACCTCTCTCTATCTCTGCTTTTCCTTGGCTCTCTGGGTAACTCTGGCTTTGAAATAAAAAATTAAAAAAAAAAAAAAAAGGAACAAGCAGCCAAAGACCCCCACTCCAACTCTGGATTAAAAAAAAAAGGATCAGCATTTTTAGTGTCTGGTCATAACAAAGTCAAACCAAGGAGGAGAAAAATGCTTATAGTTGCTACCCAAAAAGTTGAGAGAAAGAGACTGGAGTTGTGCAGCAGCAGGTTAAGCCACCTGGAATGCCAGCATCCCATATTAGAGTGCTGGTTCCAGTCCTGGCTGCGGCTTTCAATGCATCTTCTTGCTATGTGCTTGGGAAGGAAGTAGAGGATGGCCAGAATACTTGGGCCCCCACCATCCATATGAGAGATCCACTTGAAGTTCCTGCCTTCAACTTGGAGCACATCTGGCTGTTAAGGCCATTTGGGGAATGAAATAGCTCTTTTTCTCTGTCACTTTGTCTTTCAAATAAATTAATCTTTAATAATAATAATCTTTGATTTATGCTTTTATGAATAAATGACCTAAAAGAGGTCCAACTGCCAGGAAGCCCAAACAAATGGATTCCCAGTATGCTCCCATTTCAACTGACCCAATCTTGGAGCCCCCTGACTCCCAAAAGTACCATTTACTTGTACCAATAAAATGATAGTAGGCAGCTACATCACAATGAGGACAGAAGGGAAGGCATCCAAGAAAATGGGCTCAGCGGCTACTGGGATATCCCTGAAATCCCAGGCATGGGGTCAGCTCACCAAGAGCAGCCTGGTGGACACAGGCA